AAAACGCGACTCGCATAAAAAAACACAAATCTTAAATTTCCTACTTTTCTGCTTGAAATTGGACTAATTTTTTTTAATTGTTTATAAGAACATTTTTCGTACATTTTGATGTCTACTATCAACCTTTCAAATATTTACCTCTACTTACAGGACACCAGGTATAGAAGATTAAGCGGCCATCTTTGTGCTTCAGAAATTGATATAACCATGTATTTCGTTTTCTATTTGTTAATCTCAATTCCAACTGTTTTACCTTCATGGTTCAGCTTGATGACTATATATATATATATATATATATATATATATATATATATATATATATATAGGGCACCACCTTGTCTAACCCCTAAAGTAAACTGTTTCTTTCAGCTTATCCGGTTACCAACGAGAACACTGGCCTGCGTTCGGAATATTATTATTTTATCAAATTAAATAGTTTTAAAGGTATATTAAAATATTTTAAGCCATTAAATGCTTGAATTATATTAACCCTATCAAAGGTTTGCTTAAAATCGACAAAGAGCACAAGAACGTCTGAATTCAGTCTTCAGTCTTTAATCTGAAGTCTTCGCAAGAAATGGTTGAAGAATCCCCTTTATTTACTCCAAACCCATTCCAAGTGCTTCAGAATGACAGAGTAGTAATAGAGTCTGCAGTAATAACCAGGGAATCGATATTTGTAAAAAAAAAAATTAAAAATATTAAGTTATTGTGAACACAACTAAACAAAATCTGCTTTGACAGTTATTCTTGCCTCACCAAGACCAACGGTACAAAAATAACACCAGATGCTGCTGAAACTTACCGAAAAATAGTGAAGTACCTATCAGAAACGAATGCGAATTTTCATACGTACCAGCTGAGGCAGGAGAGATCGTTGCGAGTTGTGATAAGAAATTCTTAATCCTCAACCCCAACTGAAGTAATAAAAGAAGAACTAACGACTCTTCGTTTCAAAGTACGTCAGGTAACCAATGTTTTAAAGGAGAATAAGGAGCAGCCGGGTGCAAAAAATTAAGTTCCACTAACTTTATTTTTCGTGGACCTAGAGCCATCACCTGGTACTGAGAAAATATACGAAATCAAGAGATTGTACTATAATATCGTGAAGATAGAGAAGCCATACTCCAAGAAGGAAATCGTGCAGTGCCACAATTGCCAGACGTATGGCCACACGAAGACCTATTGCCACCACTTTCTGCGTTGCGTGAAATGTGGTGAACAACACAAATCAGCAGAGTGCACCAAACCTATACAAGATCCTTTAGTTTGTGTCCTATGCCTAGAGAGACATCCGGCCAACTACAAATGGCAGCCAAACTTATAAGAATCTAAAATCAAGATACCAGAATACCCGGATTCAAGATGAGACAACCAGACCAAGAAGAGGACCTTCCAGAACAGTGAATAATAATGTGTCATTCTGCGAACTACTTAGAATCCATCTAATAAATTTGAAGCCCTGCCGCAACAACAACCTCAACCCCAATCTCAATATCCTGTTAATAATAACAATTCTAACTATCAACAACCTCAAATTCCTCCTCCCTCAAATGCCACATATCTCACCAGTTTGTTATCATTATCCCCCATTGAATTCAAATCAATGATTACCCCACTTATATCATTCCATAAAAATCTAGTATCCCTCCTGTAAAAAATCCTTAAATAACTCCTATCAAGCACATATCTATTCTCCTTTGGAATGCGAATGCTGTTAGAAATCACATCGACGAACTGACATCTTTACTATTAGACAAGAATATTCACTTAGCCCTAATTACAGGAACTCGGCTGACCAGAAAACAGCTTTTAAAAAATCCACTTTGACTGCGGAGTGTTGTAAACGAAATCCGATCTGATGGGAAGGAACATTTTGGGATTCTATAAAGGGAAGCCTTCGTTTAAGGAGGATCTTTTCAAAGATTTTTGAGGGATTGGAAGTAGGCTAATTGGCCTGTAGATTGTCAAGGTGTTGGGAGGTTTGCCTGGTTTCGGAAATAGGATAATAGTAGAATGTTTCCACAAAAGAGGAAAGTGAGTGGCTCTTAGGATGGTACTGTATAAGTAAATGAGGAATATAACAGCAGTAGGGGGAAGTTGTCGGTGGATTTGAGACGTATGGAGGTCGTATCCAGGAGATTTGCCGGGAGGAAGTTTTTGTAAGTGATGTTTGACCTAAGAAGGATTAACTGCTTTAGGGGGTAAGGAAAGTGGAATGGGCAATGTAAGTAATTATTCTACTGTTGTGATAGGGGTGGAGTTGCTCAGGATTGTCTTCATCCGACGCTGTTCAGGAGCCATCGCATCGACGGAAGGTATGGAAAATATAATGGATTTTAGGATTTTGTTGGTGATCTTCTATAGCCAGTTGTCATGGACAGAGGAGGAAGTAAGGTAGCCCTAGCCCTTCTAGTCAGGTGGAGGGGCTGCCTCCTCAGAGCCTCCTGAAAGGCCGTGAGCGAGTTGCCAGGCTCTAGCCTACCTCATCAGCCCCAAGCCGACCGAAGAGGCCTTTCCCGCCTGCGCCACGGGGAACCATCTGAACAATCCTTGTTGTCACCTTCGCTTCCTCTCCCTAGGGTGCTGGCCATCATTGGTAGATTCTACTACTTACCAGAGAAGGGGTCTGACTAGTACAACCATTGGCAGGTATACTCTGGAGCTCCATCAAACCATCGAGTTCCTATCGTATCCAATCCTTACAATCTAAAATCCTTAATGCCCCATATTTTGTCACAAATAAAACCATTAATAAAGACCTTAATGTTTCATATGTCGCTGATTTAGCCCTAGATATCCATCCTTTAATGATAAACCAGTCCCACCCGAATCCACTTGTTTCGAATATTGCATCTTTCTCGATTTCTCATAATCCACCAAGGAGTCTGAAAAGTGGATGGACTCGTGATCTTCTTACCTAGAATTATTTAAGTTGTGCTACCACTTGTAGTATCTCGACAAGTCTGTTCATGTCATTATTTCTAATTTGTGCAACTTTAGTAGTTGTATTTATTTAATACAATTGTAAATTTCAATAAATAAATAAAGAGACCCCGAAAGCGAATAAATATATTTATGAAAAGCAAGTACTTTATAGAATTGATTGGTCAAATGCCTTGAAACTTAATATCAATTATGCACCCCTGTGTGGAGTCCCAGGTGTCAGTTGACAGGTAAGAGAAATTGGGTACCTCTGTCGCAAATGTAACAGAGCCTGAAACAGCAGCACGTGCTGGGAAAATGCCCCCAACAACTCCCTTCTTATAACACGCCGTTAGCCATTACCACAGAGTAAAACATGAATTTATGAGGTCCCTTAGAAAGAGATTACGCCTGTTTCGAGGAAGTGTGTTGTATTGATACGGACGGATAAACGTGATATGCCGACATCGAAACCTTTTCTAAGACAAGAGTTGGCGATCATTTTAGATCCTACCGATAGATATGAAACCTTGAAAAAAAAGGAAACATATGATAAATGCATCCCTTTCATGAATGAAAATTTCGCGAGAGTGGAACGTGAGAGGCGTTTGGTTCACAGCTGGCGGAACGATACCAAACTGAACAAGAAGCTCCATGGAGGGCCTTGGTGTTGATATAAAGGCAAGGTTGACAGAAAATATAATCCTCGACTACCTGGGAATCATCCACCACTATGTGCATGGGAGCGGATAGGGAAAGAATTTGTTCATGGGGAGGCATGCATGCATATATTACAACATTTTTATATTCTTTATTGAAAATCTCTACTGTATTTTTATATATTAATTTTATGTATTGTTTGTGTACTTTTTTTTTTCTTGTCATTATTGTATAATTTGTCATCAGAAAGAATGAATTAGATTAGGAAGAAAAATAAGAGAAATTTATAAGGGGAGAGTAGGGATAAAAAGGGAAATGGAATGGCAATGAATGAAATAGTGAAAAAGGAAAAAAAAATTGTTTACTATGCTCATATATATTGATGATACTGTATACTGTATATTTGTTTTAAGAATTGTCCGTTATATTGATTAATAAGTATGTTGTGTCTGTAGCAACCAAATATAATTGGGCAGCATCTTTTATGAAAATAAAATAATTCTCTCTTTCAATGTTCCACCTTCTATTCATTCTATTGCGTATCTGAATCTTTGATAATTGTAGCCTAAAAAGAGCTCCAATGAAAAAGTTATCAGAATCAATGTTAGGACCTCTGCAGACACAAGAGATGTGTCTCCATGAAATCAATTTGATTTACACCACCCTATGGAAGTTACGAAGTTCCCAGATGTATTCATTTATAACTGAAAAATGTGCTTTTAACCTTAAGGTTACAAGCTGCAGCAAACTTTGCTAAATTTTCTCCATCATCATAACAGCGATATTACATAAATCTCTTTTACTATTTGGGCATTAAAATAACCGAAAATAACTTCACCTTGTTAGGCTTTCACATGTTCTACTTAATTTATCATAAAAATCTTCCTTTTCCTCCTCAGTTGGTGAATGTGAATGTTATGTTCCTAAATTTTCCTTTGATTCTTATTTTTCATATTCTATTACTAATAGCTTCAAAATCAAAGAGTGAACCTGTAATAGTTTTATTTATAATAAATCCTGTACTGTGTTGTCCCCTTTTATTTTCTGAATCACCATAAATGAGCAAATAATCACTCTTATCAATACATCCTTGTCCTGACCATCATATTTCTTGGAGTGTTGACACATCAATTCTATATTTAATGATTTCATTAAATCTATGTTCATATCTTTAAGGTTTTTCCTTCCCCTCCCACAAAGACATTTCCTTTATATCATTCCAGCTTTCTTTAAACTGTGGATTTCCTAACCGATTACTTTTTTTACAAGATGGATGGGGGGGAGGGGGAGAGGGAGGAGAGTTGGCAATATACTCGAATCCCTATCAAGAAGACTAATGGATTTGAGGGGTGCATTCCTCTTGTGAGTTGCCTTCATCATGGCTATAGAGTGCACCCTACCCTTTCACAACAAGCATGCTAACTTTGCCTAAGAAGGCTGCTGTTGACTCAAAAGTCCTCTGCCACCACTCCTTAGAGGTAACTCCTGCGGTAACAGGTGGAAGATGGCAAACTTCCACCATCCTGATTTTGAAAATACCTGAACCTCTAATTCTCATTTATTCACTGATCCTGACATTCAAAGAGATTGTTTACAATAACCTCCATCAAAGTTACACAGCTCAACAGGGTCCACCTCACGAAGGTAAGAGTAGATTTGTGATGAAGCTGTGTATTAAATATTATGTATTTGTGCTGTGTATTACACATTACATCACCTTGGATGCTAGTTTGACTCAAAATAATCAATAGAATTCAAAGGGTTGAAATTTCTGGAAGCAGACTCTCAACCCTCATGTATTGTCATTTTTTTTTTTTTTTAATCTTCTCATAACCTAAGATATGTCCCAAACCTTCTTTTCTAAGGAAAGTATGTAAGAACATAACAATCTGATTTTTTAAGGGGTGCCAAATTTCATAAACAGAGTAAAGTTTTAGTCAAGGGGGTTTCGCTCCTGTAAAAAACAACCTATTGGGGTTTACACCTTGTGTGTGTGTGTGTGTGTAACCTTCTATTTATTCTAATGAAGAGCTAGAAATTAACATGTAATAAAAAAATAAGGTAAGTGCATGAAAAATTCAATTAAATGCACAATTACAGCAGGAGTCGTCTATTACGCAAAAGCATTCAGTCTTAAGAGCCTTAACTGCCTACCCATGGTTGCCTTTTAGTTGTCCACTCTCTCTGCTGATCTTCCTTATTTAAACGGTTGAATTGCATTTGATTCTCTAAAGTCATTTCTTACTAAGTGTAAATGAAACTTCAAAAGCAAAAAAAATTGTTGGAGTTACAATAGGCTTTTCATGAAAGATTCTTGAAATGAAGATCACCTTTCTTAAAAAATTCTTACGTAAAGCACTAATGAAATGCGTGGATTAATAAAGCTTGACTTGCAACAGACATCAAAATAAATAAACTCATATTTGGGAAACCAGTATAAAAGGGAATAATATTACATTGAATTTTCTTAAGAAGGTAAAAAACATCTTTCAACATAGACAAAGTATTCAATAGTACTAAATAAAAGAAATCATTAATATAAGAAATATACATCAATATATTTCTTGAAAAAGGTCAAATTCAAGGTACCATTATGTCATTTAGTAATCTACATTTACTATTCAAAATCCAAATATTAATTATTAAAGTGGATTAAAATAAGTAGGTTGAATAAGTATTCCAAAGCATAAACTAAGTAAATAATAAAAAAATTTATTTTGTTACAACCACCATCTTATTAACCTTCTTACATATTTACAATGTGGTAGAAAATACCATAAATATTAACATTTACAGTAACAAAGCTTCAAAATTTAAAAAAAATAGAAAAATTGTTTCTAATTATAAATCTATAGCACAATAAATACATTTATCCTCCAATTTATTATACTTCTTATATTTACCTTTATTTATATTTTCCATATTATCCTTAAACTTAATATTTTACAAATGATTTCTTTTCCAATCACACTTACTTATTTTATAATATAATTATAAAATAATTAATGCTAATTATAAATACTCTCAATTAATAGTAATTAAAATTATACAGCATCTATTTCTCGTCAACAAACACATTTAGAGCACCACCAAGAGCCTCTTAGACATTAAAAAGTATTATCAAAATGTTGAACAATGAAGTCAAAAGGCATAGTTTAAGGCAGCCATCTATTTAAATTAAAATGACAGGTCATTTATACTACGCCATATTAAAAAACCCATCTTTAACACCAACAATACTTTTCACTACCTTAATAAGTCATGGGAATCTCGAAAAATACATTCAATAGGCAATATTTAAGGCAACCATCTATGCAAACAATCAAAATAGAAACAAGTACATAAAGCATCACATATTATGTAAAAAAGTACATCGCAAGCATTTACAATTTATAAAAATAAAAAAAATATATCTGTAAGTTCAAAGTGGAAATAAAAATAAAGAACTGACATTTGAAATGATTCGGATGAACGTTAGCAATAAAACTTAAGTAACTAAAATATAATACATCAATATCAATGACTCAGATCTACATATAAACATACCAATTTATTTAGCCACCTGATTAACTAAATAAGTCAGATAACTACTTAATATTATACATCAATAATCCAGATCTATACAAAAAACGTCTTAGTTTAGTCACCTGATCTATTAAATGCATCAGGTGACTGTTTATGTCAGCACAAGTGTTGATCACCTTCAAGGATACAAGCTACAGTTTCTAGTTTACGACTGAGATTCAGCTTCTTACAATTAGGATCCATTTCTAAAGCATCATAGATCTGAAATTAAAAAAAAAAAACATTAAATAAAATCATGTTATTTAACGAGGCTTAAAACATTTTTTTTATTATGTTGTGATTCAATTATAATAAAAATAATCACAGAGCACATAATTATTTACCATTAAACTTTTGCTCCTTTAACAATGGAGATAAGAGATAAAAGGGAGATAATTTCCTGGGACATAATACTTTAATAGCCTCGGAATATTCCCTTCGAGAGGATGGGCAAGAAAAAGTAATAAACGAAAAACATAACTATCCACGAATAAAAGATAACTAGTAATTTGTGCCTTTCTAGACCTTACTTAATGTGATTGGCAATTCAATGTTGAAGAGATCTTAACAGAATTGGGAATTAGATAAAGATATGCAAATTAAAGACAGCATTTTACTCCATTATTACACCACGCTTCACATCATAATTATTATTATGTAACAACAGGAAGAAATGGGCTAGGAAATTCCTGAACACTCTCCTTATAGACCAGAACTTCACTTGTATTTTTGAACTTTTAATAACTCTTTCTTTTAACTTATTTCTTGAATAAATATTTATTTTTCATTAATATGCATTAATAAACATCATGAAAAAAAAATATCAACTAAACAAATTTTAAAAATAAATCATGTATCTTTTATTTTTAAAAAATCCATGGTTAACAAAATAAGTGATGTGAGAAAAAGTCTCACACACGACCATCCATGGCAATATTGATCAAGTGAGCAATGATGGGTTAAAGAATGCTGAAATTATCATTTGTCTATAACACTAATCATTTAAGATATATAAAGTTATTACTCTTTATATTCGATTCACACTCTCAATAAAAATAAAACTTCTAGCAACAGTTACATTTGAAAAGTACAAGGTATATATATATATATATATATATATATATATATATATATATATATATATATGAAGTTAGGGGAATAAACCCAAATATATTATTTATACAATATAGATAATGCATGAAATAATCAAACAAAATAATAAACTACCTGATCATGATACTTTGTTACATAAATATAAAGTTCTTTCAATGCTGATATCGAATGGAAATAATTCGCTTGTACGGCAGACAACTGTTGCATGGCAGTGCTCAATTCCTGATCTGTAATTTGTGGAGCAATTGAAATGTCATAATAAAATTTTGCTACCATGTCTCTATATTGTGGAATATCCTTTGCAAAAAGTAATTTGTTTGAAGGAGAATCTTTTCCAAGGCGATGGTCAGTAGTTGAACAAGAATCCATAAATGTCTGAGCAATCACAGATAAACAAGAATCAACTGTTGCTGTTTTATTTATATCAAAAATGAAATCAGGATTTTTGATGAAATTTACCCAGAACCTCAAAGGAAGGCTGTAACAGAAAATTCAAACAGAACCAAATTAAAATAATTATTGTTTTAATATGAACAGATTAAACAGTTAAATCACTAAAAAAAAAAAGAATAATAAAAAATCTATTAGATTTAACTTTTAGTAGCACGGAGCCTTAATCAAGGTCAGGTGTCTGATGCACATGGTACTCAAAGTCTAGCCCAACCCTCTGTGCACGGGATTCACTCAATGAATTGCTCCCGTCACTTTGCACTTATTAAATATGATGTTAGCTCATATTTCATTAAACAATTAAATATATTTTTTATTAATTTTAAATAAACTTTCTTTTAATTTTATAATTTATTAATTGTCTTACATTACTTTTACATTATACTGCAACATTCACATTATTTTTTTATTCTTCATTTGAATTTTTGAATTTTTTTTATTAATCTTTTTTAGTATTAACCAATATCTAATAATGTTTGATATGGAAAAATTTTAAAAACGTTTCATTGTATGGTAAATTTTATTAAATATTTTTAAAAAATGTTAAAACTCATTTTCAACCTTCCCACTTTAAAATACTACCAACTGCTGTTAGTTTTAGAGCTAAACTATGTTTTTTCTTCAAATTGCTTCAATGCTAGGATCTATTTATATCTTTTGGAATATGTCCAAGAAATAGAAATCCAAAAACTTGAATAAATCAAAAGCCAGTGAATAAATCTTAAATTGATAATTATTTTCAAAAACTAAGTCTCTGAAAACATAGAAATAGACCCTTACATTGAAGGCACCCAAAAAGCCTAAATAAATCAAAATGCAGTGGGGTAATCGTAAAATGGAGATCATTTTCAAAAACTACGTATCCAAAAACAAATAATATCGAAAACCATGTTTTCTAAATTAATTTTTAAACATTACCTCAGTGATAGTAATGTTACAATATGGTTATGCGTAGTGGTAATGGGTCAATAAAACTTCACTAATGTAACACACCCCATTTTGGTATAAGGCCTGGGTTACACTGGACACGTAAATCATACGAAACGACGGAAAAGGGGTTCTGCACTGTCTGTTCGAAAAACACACATTTACCATGGCAATGTCACGTCTCGGATTTTTAATTCATTCATTATTTCATGTATAACCTTGTCCAACATGCGTAATAAATAATAGTTTAATTTCGTATAAATTGTTTTTTCATATTTTCATATTAATTGCAATATTATTTATTTGATAGATAATCCAAAAATAATTCAAATTCAGTATAAAAATAACAGAATAATAAAAATAAATTTCTTTAATGAAAATGGAAATATGTAGCCACTTTTAATAGAATAAATAGTAAGTAAACAGAATTGAGAATTAAAAATATTACACTTTTATTTTAATATTTTAAAGAAAAGATAAAACTTATACTTTATATATTATTAAGATTATGCTTATTACTATAATTTTAATATATCATCTAAAATTAAAGGCCTTATATGTGTATCTGGTAACATATCCTAATTTTAATCACTTTCTAGTTCTATTGCTGGCTGCACTATTTAATACTGTTTATTATCAGTAGGTTTAGGGTTGTCTTTAACACTACTTCTAGTGCTATACATGGCTGTGTATAATTTTAGCGTTACTTATAAGTTATTTCAGTCTATTTGTTTAAATTCTGTTCTATTATTTGATATTTAATATTTTTGCAAGCAATGGATACATTGTACTTTACGTAGATAAGTAGGATATGGGTTTTACTGCAAATAAATTTACTTTACGTATAACATCTTTTATATATTATTTTCTAATCGTAATTTTAATATTAGTTATCTGGTTATGCATTTTATTATTATTATAAATTTTATAAAATTAATGTATAGATAGATAGATAGATAGAAAGTAAACTTTATTCTGGGACAAAGTCCCTTATGAATAACAGATATGAACAAAAAAATAAAAACTACATCTGGCCAAAAATTACATTAATCAATATTAAAGAATATATACAGTATCTTCAGTGAAGTTAAATTAAAACAAGTAAAAATAAAATAAAATTTTGAGAAAAAACGAAATAAAAAAAAAACATTATTGAAATGAAAAAAAATAATAAAATAAAATAAGCCTGGGTTGATTTTTAAAATTAAGACTCAATAAATTTTATCAACCATTCACCTGTCAAAATCTGTTTCACAATATTTATTTTATTGTATAACGTCATTTTGGGATGTGAGAAGGAATTGGTAGAGATGATATTTAAATGAGGACAAGGAGGAGGCATGGCGGATTTCAGATGGCAAGGAATTCCAGAAGGCTGTGGATCGGGAAATAAAGGAATATTTAAACGTCTTAGTTCTATGGGAAGGGATATAAAGGTCGGAAACATGGGATCTTGTTTTCTGGGAGTGGACCACGGGTTTAAACTGTAGGAGACTGTAGATGTAAGAAGGGTGTCTGGTGTTGATTGTTTGGAATAGGAAAGATCCGAGGAAATATTGTCTGCGGAAAGAAGGGAAGAGCCACTTCGTAAGGTGGGACACATGAGATCGCCTTGATGTACCGAAGACAAATCTTAAGCACGTATTCATGAGTCGCTTCAATCTATCCTCGAGTACCATCGGGATGCCTCCGTACACCACACAGCAGTAGTCAAAGTGGGGGAAAATGAGAGAGGATACAAGGAGTTTGCGGATGGGTTGTGAGAGTAGGTGGCGGGAGCGATGAAATAGCTTAAGGGTACCTATTGACTTACGGGAGATGAGGGCGATATGGGGTTTCCAGGAGAGGTTTTCGTCTATGGTGATTCCTAGGTTTTTAACGGATGAACTGAATGTGACAGGATGATCGTTGATGACTAAAGGAGGAAGGAGGGAGATGGATTTAAGAACAGGACTGGAACCTATAATAATGGCCTGAGTTTTCATCGCATTTAGATTTAAATTATTCAGACTTGCCCAGGCACTGATTCTATCTAGGTCTGCCTGAATATTGGCGAACGCGACTAGTAGCTCAGAAGGATGAAAGGAATAATATATTTGGGTGTCATCAGCGTATAAATGATGTGAACAGTGGTAGATGGATTTGGAAAGATCATTTATGTAGGAATTGAAAAGAAGAGGGAAAATGCTAGAACCCTGGGCCACTCCAGAGGACAGTGTAAGAAAGGAAGATAGGGGTTGGTTTGGAATGCTGACTGCTTGAGTTCTATCGGATAGGAAAGACTGCAACCAGAGGATAGAGCTGTTGGAGAAGGATAGAGATTTTAATTTAGTATAGAGTATAGAGTGGTCTAAGGAGTCAAAAGCTTTGGAAAAGTCGAGAAGTATTAACATAGTTAACATTTTTTCGTCCATTGCAGTATGTAAGTCATTGGTAAGGTATATATATATATATATATATTCTTTTTACATGTTTCCATTTTTTAAATTGGATATATATTTTAATTGATGATATTTCATCAGAATTCCATACAGTTTTACTATATTATCATTGTCCTTTACATCTGTTTTCATCATTATTTTAAACTGATCTGTAATTCGGCTTTTTTATGTATTATCTTCATTATTTTTGTTTTATCACCATGAAATTTTGACATGAGTTAATTTTGTTTATTATTTATTTCAGATTTGTTATCATTACCATTTATAAATTTATATGAAATGTTATTCATTGGTAGATTAATTGCCATGCATCAAAATGCCCTAAAGATATTTTATTCAATTCCATTTCAAAATTGATGATTTAAGCTTTATTTGATTTATTTAATTTTAGTATTGTTTTGCTAGGTTGAGAATTTGAAGTTTTGAATAGATTGAGTGATCACAATTATTGAATCACTGCACTATTATTTTATGACCCAAGAAATTATGTTAATATATTTATATTAATTCTATTATTTCTTAATGAATTAGGTCTATTATACTCTCATTTATTATTACTATGCATATATATTACTGCTTTTTGATTATATTATATCATATAATGAAAAACTACATTGATACTTACATTATTGGATCCAGGATTTAATTTAGAGGGGGGGGGGCCTTTTTTTTTAATGTCTCCAAATTAATCAATAATAATGGCTGTTTTATTTATTCAATATGTAATCCAAAATTAATTCAATCCAACATAAAAAATATATCAGTAATAATTATCCCTTATTGTTAGCAACTATTTTTTATTATAATTGTATTACAAATATTAAATATCTTCTCATGACTATTTGAAAATTTTGCAGTGTTGAATACTCAATGGTTAAACATAGTACAGTATATGAATAGTGAAAAACTATTTTATTTTATGTTCGACCCGACTTTTTAGGTCTTCATTGGGACTAGAATGAACAACATACAAAAAGATATAGAAAATTATATAGATATAATATAAGGATATAGACATAAATAAATAATGGACATTACAGGGCTGTGAAGAAAATTCAGAATGAAGACTTACCGGTTGTCAGACTGGAATTCATTATGAAACTGTCAAGTCATTAAAATAAACATTGGGGTAATTAGCTGACATTGTTGATGGATGGAGGAGGTAGGGGGTAGTAACGGAAAATAACTATATTAAAATATATTAATGAATAAAAAAACATTGCAATATTTGACAGCTAATTATAAATACATGGATTGTAAAAAATTATTATTTGCTAATTAATAACAAGAAAAGGTTCAGTGCAATATTATATGTGAAGTAAGTTATATCAGGGATACTTAAAAGATATAAGATTTTATATATATATATATATTTATTTATTTATTAGAAATTCCAAAAATAGTTAACTAGGCCGCAATGTAAAATAATAAATATTTTTTTCTTAATTAATATTAAAAAGGAATTTTATATGTAAAATTTGTTGGTTGGAGTGTTTGAGGGATTTCGAAACTTAAATCTGTCATTGATTAAATGTAAAACAAAAAATAATGATTAAATATTCAATAATTGGATAAATAATTGTTTATCAAATAACGCTGTTTTTTTTTTTTTATAATCTTTTAAATCTATCTTTCTTGTTAGTTATATCTTTAAGTTTATTAATATTGCTATAGAGTTCAAAATTAATATTATTATTTACGTTAATTTTTTTTTATGTTTTCAGTTTCATTTGATATAAAATATATTTTAATTTGCAATATTTATTTCTATTTTCTTAAAATGGTACTTTTAGTCTAAGGGGCCGTTTTGAAACCTCACTTCTTATCTATCTTATCTAATGTCATGTCATCATGTTACATAACCTCCCTCTTCTTATCCCGCCAAACTTTTGAGTTATTGCATTGTTTGGTTTTCAGTTATTCCCTTATTACGTTCACTTATTAAATTGTTTACTTTTGGCCCGTTTGTGTTTATTTTTAGTTTTTGGCCCGTTTGTGTTTATTTTTAGTTTTTGGCCCGTTTGTGTTTATTTTACATTTTTTTTTAGTTTGTGACCCCATGGTGTTTATTTTTCATTTTTTTTTTCGTTTATTTTCGTCATATTATGGATCATCTTAGAATATGGGATTTACCGTCTTCAGAAGAACAGGCAATTCAGTATTTTCAAAATGTTGGGGTACTTGCCGACGTGAAATTGTGTGAACGAGGTCATCGAATGAAGTTAACCAAGAAGGCCAAATGGAGATGCTTTCGTAAGACTTGTGACACAAAACTTTCAATAAGAAAAGGAACATGGTTGGAGGGTTCGAGGATTTCGTTTTTAACAGCTTTAAAATTGATTTATGGGTGGTCCCATAGCTTGACAACGATGAAGTGGGGCAAAGAGCAGCTGAAACTATTCCTACGCAGCTATGGTAACGTGGAACAAATGTCTAAGAGAGGTTTGTGCCCATGACATGTTATACAGGCCAAGAAAAAAAATTGGAGGACCTGGCAAAGTGGTTGAAGTAGACGAAAGTCTTTTTCCTAAACGAAAAAATCATGTGGGGAGAGTTTTACCTCAGCAGTGGATGTTTGGTGGAGTTTGCCGTGAAACAGATGAATGTTTTATCGTCAAAATAATTGATAGAAAGGCAACAACATTATTACAAGCCATTAAAGAAAATATAGAAGAGGGAACGACCGTTTATTCGGACTGTTGGAAAGGATACAACACCCAACAACTGAACAAAGCAAACTATGACCATTTCCAAGTGAATCACCGGTATAATTTTGTTGATCCATCAACTGGGGTTCATACTCAACACATAGAAAGATTGTGGGGCTCAGCTAAGTGGAGAAATAAAGTACATAGAGGAACTGCCAGACAACACCTCGATTCATATTTGTGCGAATTTTTGTGGCGGCGGGTTCACAGATAAGAGGACCCGTTCCTCGCTATTTTAAGTAGCATAAAACAATTTTGCCTTCCAAAATAAATAAGACAAAAGGAAGTGAATAATTAACTTAAAATAATTTGTATATACGTTGTTTATAGTGTTTATATTTTTTCTTTTCTATGTAAATATGTTCTTTTAAATTTGTTATGATGCCGATGTTATGATTATAATTTGTTATGATGTTTGATGTTTTATATGTGCATATCTTCTCAAAGTGTTTTTTTATTATTTAATTAATATATTTGCCGTCAAATAAAAGTATTTTTCTTGTTATTACATTTGTTTTTGTATCTGTTTACACTTTCAATAATATGAATTTAATACAATAATACGAAGATGTGAAGTAGGAGAAGGCTTATCACTGCGTTATGGGAGCTATCAGTGTTCAGGTTATAAACATTGCCAGATAGCAGTCAGTAGCGGCCCCTTAGACTAAAAGTACCCTTAAAATTTTACGGCATTATCATTTATTAATTGGTTTCCGAGAATTAAGTTTGTAATTTAATATTTCAAAAACCTTGTCTTTAATTTTCTCTATTTGTTTTATGTGTTAATTTTATTTTATTTTTCATGGAATTAGTACTGATATTTATGGACCATCGTGTTGAAAACTTGGTTTGGAAACAAACCGGTTTAAAATTCCCGCAACGTTGTACGATGTCGTGTTGGGCGGGTTTGCCTATCCATGCCCCTTCTATCAAACTGTTTGTTTAATATATTTCATTAAAATAATTTTAATTTTAATTTCAAAATAATGAAATTAATAACTAGGCAAAAATAGATTTTTATACAGAATGGTTTGGATAATTTCTTTAATGATTGGCAAGAATTGAAAAAAATGAAAGATAAATTAGCGAATTAATATGTTAATTCATTTGGTAACATTTTTTTTTATTTAAACATTGATGCAATATTCATGGATTAAAATTAATAATTTAATGAGATATTTACAGTGTTATGTGTGAATAATAATGTATGACTTTAATTGTTGAAATAAATTGCAAAAGAAATAAATAACTTAAAGATATTGAAACCATAGATGTTAAATTAAACGAAAAAAAAAGAAGCCTTTGGTTAACAAGAGGTGTGGATTTAATTAATCTCTACAAAATTATCTACTATATTTAATAAAAATATCATCAATATGAATTGAATAGATGAAAACAAATATTTTTACATGTTTTAAATAATTTTAAATTATATTATAGACTAAAGGTGGTGAGCTAGATAAAAAAATATATTTTATCTTTATTATTTAAATTTAAAATATATAATGAATAAAATTAACAATGTTTTATGATATTTTTAATTTTCATATCTTGCCTACTATTGACCATTAAAAGTCACAACATATTTTCCCCAATAATGAAAGTGTATTACATATTTAAATGACAATAATAATTTGAGAAGGAGTTAGTCGAGGGTGCGGTCAAATAAATAAAAAAATTAAAATATATAAATTATTTTAATTTTTGCCGACGTTTCGACCCACTTTGCAGGTCGTCTTCAGGGCGTAGGATGTGGCACTGCGGGAGGCAGTTGAAACACTGGCTGACAATAATAATTATTAAGTGTGACAATAATAATTATTTGTTGTTAACAATAAAATGAAAATAGCTGTTGTAATTCTCTACTGTATTTTGAATTCTTTTTGGATTACTTATCGAATAAATAATACCATAATTAATACTTATTAATTATTAAACAGTCTTAAAGGAATTAACTATTATTTTTTATGTATATTGCATGGATATAATACAATTAAATGGATGATATAATAAAATTAAAAGATGAATGAAAGGTTATGTTTTTGAACTGAAGAGTAGAGCCGCCGTATCGTGTCGTGACGGATCCAGTGTAACCACGGCCTAAGGCTGGATTAATGAGACCCTCCTACTGTAGTGTGATAATTAAACAATAATTCAATTGAAAAAGTAATATAAGGCTGAAATACAATTCCCCATTTTCTTACTTCCCTGGATCAATATCCATAAAATCTAATCTGGTACAAAAAAGAATTCCATATAAACAATAAAAAGAATTATAAGCAGTCTTACCTATTTGATTTCCAAGCATGAACTACTTCATTGTCCAAAATGTTATAACGCTTAGCAGCTTCATCAAAAAGATCAAATAGCCACTTAACAGAAGGAGGAAGTCCTTCATTAGCAGTTAAAATTGTACTAAAGAAATCATCAACAAACTTTTGTATGGTTCCTTTTGTAGATAAAAGTCTAGTGAGAAAAATTTCAGGAATGGCTTTATGGGTACGTTCTGATGTTTTATTGGTGAGATAAGTGTGATCTTCCAAAGGTTTGACTAGATGATAGACATGGAGGTTTGGAACAGTTTCAACATCACCATTGGAACCAGTAATTGTAGGGATACCACCATCTAAGTAAGTCGCTGTACCTGCAAATTAAGGATTCTATTACATTTTAAATAACAACTTATATTGAAGAGAAATTGGTTGGGATATTAAGTCAAAAATACTAAGCAAAAATAAATAAATGATATTTATTTTTATTTTTTCCAATATACATTATATGTTTATAATCTTAAAGTAAATCATTTGTTTATAATCGTAAATACATGTACTGCAGTTTAATAACTTTATATATATATATATATATATATATATATATATATATATATATATATATATATACATATATATGTGGGCTGGGATAGTCTTGCAGGCTAATGAGAATAAGACCTACATTATATTTTTTTTTAAATTTAATTTTACAATGATGTAATGAATTTAATCAAAATCATTAAAGCCATTTTTGAGAAAATCGTAAAAATGTCTAAAATCGATAATATAAAATGGCACTTTCGGTAAGCCAACTTCAACGAAAAAGTTGCTGTAACATTCCAGGCATATACCTATCTTAAATACGTAATATTAGTTTCATACTATTAGGGGACCGGAAAGTAATGTCATTTTCTTACATTAAATTCAAACATAAATTTCACACAAGTTTCTATTTTTAATCATTGATGGAATCACTCTCATTATCAACAACCTTTTGCCATCTAGTATGCAAACTTTGAATATAAGATCGATAAAAATCAATTAGTTTTTTTGAGCAAAATATATAGAGATGGCATTTTGGACATCATTGAAATTTGCAAATATTTTGCCATTTAGAAAGTATTGAAACGATCCAAGCAAATCAAAACCAGATGTTGCAACATAGGGCAAGTAAGGTGATACCTCCACACCAAGCCATTAATTTTTTTCCAGAGTTCATCTTATGAATTTTCGTGTTGATGAATAACACGTTTTCTGTTGACAATTGCTGGCCAGTTTTGAATTAAAGATTGATTTACATGATCCAATTGTTTATAATAAAGGTCTGCATTCACAGTTTGTTTAGGTTTCAACACTTCAAAGTGAGCAACACCGGGAATACTCCACCAAATACACAAAAGGACTTTTTTATGGATTTAAACCTGGCTTAGCAGTACTTTGTGGTGATTATTTTGGAAAGACAGAACAGGATCCCCTTTTCATCTCTGGTGATCAAGCGATCAAAAAATGCTTCTGTGTTGTTCCTTTGAAGCAATAAATTGCATAAGGTGGTTTCCCACCAGCTGCAACTTATCTGTTACAAATATTCATGGATAGTCGACCAAGGTTGGTTAAGACTGTCGATTTTCTGACATTGTTGGTTTTCCTGATCGGTACGAGTCGGAAAGATCAGGATTACCGGATTTGAACTTAAAAAACCACTTTTGGCATTTAAGAATGTCTATTTCATTTGGCTAAACATCACAAATGTTTTTGGTAGCGCAACTGTTGCATTACTACCCTAGCGAAACCAAAAAAGCATGCAATGCTTCGTCTCCCTAATACTACTCGTTTTTGAGTTACACTGTTCACACACACACCCACACATTTTGCAGGACTCGGTTATTTGGAATCAGGAAACCTCGAAACGTGCATTTCCGTTGAAAACTAAGATTCAAAAATTTTCACCATCGCAATACTTTCCCTTACTAAATATTACATATATAGGCAAGTGAAAGTAATAATTAGAGCAATAGTTGAAAACCAGAACTATTGATAAAAAAAAAAAAAAATAGTTAAAAAAATTAAACAATGGATAAGAAAAAGAAAACAATAGTTGAAAATAAAAAATCAATTGATATTGCTCCTCCTCAAAAATATTTTGCTCCGTAGACCTTAAGTCAACTTTGCTCCGTAACAATCTCTTATTATTCCTTTAGTTAATTATCAAATTCTTTCATATTTTACATTTAAATATTTTTTATACCAGGTTACAATGTGAAATAGTTAATTTCATATAAATAAATTTAATCAAAATCGTTAACAGCAGTTTTCGAGAAAATCGGAAAAACACAGTAAAGCAATGATATAAAGTGCCACTTCTGGTTAGCTGATTTTAACCAAAATGTTGCTGTAACATCCCAGACATATACAAACCTTAAATATGTAATTTCACCTTTGTATGACTTTTGGTTTTGAGCTAGACTGTTAACACACACACACACACACACACACACACACACACACACACACACACACACACACACCATTTTGCGACTTGGTTATTTGGACTCAAGAGACCTCAAAACGTGTATTTCCGTTGAAAACTCAGATTCGAAAAGTTTCACAATCGCAATAAATTCCCTTACTATATATTTCAAAAGCAAAGCAAAAAAAAACTCAAGATTCAGCCCTTAGTTTTTACACTAGTCCGGTGTGATTGTAAAATTGATGGCACTAAATTTGATAAAATTTCGCATCACATTTAACAAAAATAAAACAGAGTTTTCACTAGATTGATCTCTAAGCCACCTTAGTTGATAATATAGGATGACTGATACTGTAAACGCATAGTAAAAACTAACAACTTGAATTTAAGTTATAGAAAATATAACAGATCAATAAATACCTGAAATTACAACCAATACTTAGCATAGCATAGAACGAACTATCACCTAATATTTTTATCATGCTGCAATTTCAAAACTGACAGCCCTAAATGTAATAAAATTTTGCAATAATTTTTTTTTTAAGCATTGTTTCTTCATTCACAACTATCAATAATACATAAAATACATAAATAAAACTGAAACTGATATATTATATATTTTTTAAAATAATATATAAATAAGGTGTCTACATCATTGAAAGATGGGATGATTTAATGTCATCAACATATATTTCATCTTCTAAACACATATTATTCTTATAATTTATTGCTCACACTTGTATTACCTCAGAAAAGAAATAGGTGAAAAATAACCAGGATTAAATAATTTTTTATGGCATTTGCTGCCTATAATCCAATGCAATCATGAGTGCTATTTTCAGGGCAAGTGTACACTATTGGAGGTCTTAGGGGAAAAGCAAATACTTTTCAATCCAGGTATTGCTATTCAATATTAAACCATTAGAAGATATGATTATTGGAATAATCTTCACTTTTTTAAATGTTTTTTCTTAACTCTAAGGCAAGTTCTTGATATTTTCTATTTTTTTTCGGCCCTAGTGGTTACTATGTTGGTATCACAGGGTACTGCTATGTCTATGATTTTTCTAGTTTCATTTATTTTGTTTATAACCAAGATATCCGGATGGTTAAGCAGTACTTTACGGTCCGTTATTATATTTTGATCCCATTAAACTTTTACATTTCTATTTTCTTTACGTTTTTTTGGGATATAAAAATAACAGGATACCTCATTATTGTCCTATAGTCCGAATATTCTGCATATATTTTAGTGATATATTTTTGTGACATTATTATATCTCATGAGCTATTCTGTCCCTGCTAAAATATCGCAGCCATTGGCTACATGTTGGATAGATTCATGCGTCTTAGAGCAAAGCCGACATTTACCTGTGACCAGAATTTCTTTTAATAGATACTTCCTATAAGCCCTGGTTGCAATAACATGATCCTGTATAGCTATAATAATAATTATTATTATATATTTGGAAGTGTAAAAAAAATATGAAATGAAATAGTTGAGGGAAAGTAAATCATTAAATACTCACAATTTTGACAAGGTTGTTTACAACTATTGTAAGAATCATTTTGATGAGGAATTAAGGACATAACTGCACTTTCCTTCACACCATAATGTTGCAAAGTGTTAAGTTTTTTCCAACCACATATACTCTTAGTAGTCAAGTCTTCATCTTGTAAGGTTAAATGACCACCTCGGCCATGACGCCACTCTACAAATAATGTTGATGAATAATTTTTTTCTGATGTCAAATCCATAAATATACAGTTGCAGAATTTTTTAAATCAATTTGATGATAAATTAAGATATAAAAATCTTAGACTGGGCAGAATTTATTTGAAAAATATTCCTGGAATAAATCCTTAAATAAACCTCGATAGTTATTTCCGAAATAATTTATTTCATGAAATAATCTGACCATTATTTCCGAAATGATTATTTCGGGAATAAATTATTTCAGGAATAATGATATAATTATTTCTGAAATGATTATTTCAGGAATAATGTTGTGAAATAATCATTCTGATCGACTTTTTAGATATGATCAATATCTGGGTCGACTATTACGTTTTCAGGGGTGCTTATTATAAAAATAATGTCAAATTTGAGATTGCGACCCCCCACCCTCCTAAAACATTATAGTTGACCCTGATATCGGTTAAATCCAAAAGGTTACTAAAGGTTTGCCGGTAGGGCGCAATCTCAAATTCGACCATATTTTCATAATAAGCTACCCCGAAAACATGGTACATATTGGTAATTTTTTTATTTTATTTCAGAGCAATGTTATTTCAGAAATATTCATTTCTTGATTTTTGCAATAATTTATTTATGAAATAAATAATTCTGAAATAATAGTTATGAAATAATTCATTTCGAAATTATTTACTTTATTCCAAAGAATGTTAAAATATTGAAATAATTATTTCAGAAATAAATTCAGCAGTTATTCCATCGAGATTATTTCATTGACAGTTTGAAATATTATTTCAGAAATAACCATTATTCCGGAAATAATTCATTCGTGGAATAACCATGTGAATTATTTCAAGAGTGCCCAGGTTTAAAAAATCTATGAATGATAGAGTACAGTTCAACTCACGAAAACTCTGGATATGTTAAGATTATTAAATGAACAGAAAAAACTTTAACAATTGCTCTCTTTGCAAGTATACTAAGCTATAGATTTATTTTAATGTTATTAGGAAATATGGAATTTCTTTGATAAGAGCCACTAAGCTCAAACCAAAATATAAAGTTCTTTTGAGATGAAACAGAATATCAATAGTTTTATGGAGCGAGTTCTATGGACTATCTATGGAGAGAGTATTTTATTATTATATAACCAACCAAGAATTCAACATGAACTACTGATTCTATTATAAGTACTTAAAAATTTTACTTACCTAAGTCAACTTCATGAATTGACGGCCTTAAAGAAAATGGTGTATTTTTATATAATGCATCCAAAATTTTACATTTCACCTGACTAATAGTATCACAATCAAGAACTTTACATTGAATTTTTTCATCTACATCATCTTGTACAATTTGTAATGTCTATAATCAAATAAAATAAATATATCATTTTTATGATGGTGAAACTAAATTAATAAAACATTTCAAATATTTCCCTCAATTTAAATATTTTATTAAAGAAATGTCAAAATGTAAAATCACTGACCAAAATACCTTAATTTAAATTTTTAAAAAAGGAGAAAATAACAGTATACAACTAAAGCCTCATTTAGAAATAAAATAAAAAATTCTGTCCTATAATTCAAAATTGGAGTTAACAAAACACAAAATGAATAGCTAAAGGAAAAGAATTTTCGAACCAAACAAGCCATTGGATTAAAAAATAACAATAATAAGAATTAAATCAAGGATATTCCAATGAATACTATAGTTCCTACTTTCAAACTTGTTTCATATTAAAATAAAATAAACCATAATAACATTAAAAATTTTGCATGTCTCAATGAATAAAAATAAAAACAAAAGTATAAGAATAAAGGTAATTGAATTGGTTCAATAAAAATTGTAAATAAACAGATTACAAATATCTTAAATGTTAAAGTTAAAAAAATAAAAAATAAATTAGAAGAAATATGACATTACCACAACACCATGCTGAATTTGTTCACGGAGAAGTCTTTCTTCAGAAAGAGAATATCTAGCATCATGAGTAACAGCATCAACTGGACCTTTCTGAATTTGATGTTTAATTGCTTTATACAGAAGAAACAAGGAAGAACCAGCATACTCCTTCAAATATTTGTACATACAAAGTGCCATCCAATTAGTTAACATTTTTTCAACAACTGATTCAGTACGCCTCAACATGAGTTGAGGATGTTTTGTGGCAACAGACTTTTGAATTAACCTCAATAACAAATGCCTTAGTATATCTGTAGCATATTCCATTTTTCCCATCAAAACAACCATTATAAGTGAAGCAACATTAACTCTACAAAAAATTAACAAATATTTTTTAAAAAATTAAGCATTAATACAATAAAATACAGATGAAACAAAATTTTCAGGAATTTCAGTCTTGTATTTTTATTCAGTTAGCCTACATTTTTGAGTTCTTGAGTCGACTTCCAATAAAAATGTCATAATAAATAAATTGTTAAATTTAGTTGTAGGTTTTGAAATAAAATTTTCCTGGAAAATATAAATTTATTAAAATATGTAATTAGTACTTACTTATCTCGAATACTGAAAGACTCCTGATCTTCAAGCGTTTCAATGAAAGAAATAATAAAATATTTGTTATTAATTAACTGTTCAAACTGTATCATGGCAGCATCATAATTTGTTGTGGGTCCAGTAATTCGATTCTGAAAAATATTTGAGAACATAATGAACAAATAATTAGTAATAATTCAAACAAAACATGAATAATAAGAATTAAAATAACTCATAAAAATAAGAATAATAGTATAAGTGTGGTTTCCATGAATTTGTGTGCGGCTTTCATAAATGCCATTTCTGGTATTAAATAATATTTAATTATATAGACTACAACAGGAGTGCCCAACCTTTTTATCCCTAACCAAAGATTTCCTACTTTAAGGTATGCCAACAATTGTAACTCTCCTCCCCCACGTTTTTATAGATAATAAGGTTTGTGGAATTGATAATTTATTTGCTTAAAGCTATTTATATAATTTTTAATTAATTAACAAAAAATAATTAAATCTCTTTTATTCTTGTTGAATTCATCAACGGTAAGTGATTATTAAAACCAATTACAAATTTTTCTTATTCCATAGTATGTGATTATATAATAACTTATTAATCCTTACAAAATATTCAATCATCAGAGAAAAGTTAAGAGTTCAAAACAATAAAGAGTACAGAAATAAAGAAGATTATGTGTGAAAAATTGGACCATTTCCCCTGTACCAGCGCCTTAGCCAGTTCTTTTTAAAAGTCCTGGTTAAAGGAAAGGCCAGTGGCATTCACTTCAAGATCAAAAGCACCGATTTGCTGGTTCTTGGGCTTTACCTCATCGCCAATTGCAAGCGCTTTTCCACTTGATTTAAAATTTCATATTAGAGTTTTATTTTTTTACCTAAACAGGATGTCCAGCAACCTATACTCAAGTTACAATTTTAATTTAATTTTATGTGAAGCATATTTGAGTACTGATCTGCACTAAATAAATGAAAACATATACAGTACATTCCCAGTAATTTGAGATTTTTTCTTCCCCAAAAATCCCCTTTTTAGACCTATTATTCCCGAATATAATGAACTGATTTACTAATTCTTTGAGGATCATTAAATTTTATGTACTTTCCCGGAAATGAGTCATATTAATACCTATTTTAAAACTAAAATTTATACTTAATCTGAATTCCATATAATGAATAGTTACTGGGCTGTTTAGTAAAAATTATATTTCACTAACAAAAAGTTTCATTTTTTTATTAAGGACTTTTCTACTACTGTGGTTATTCTTGACCTAAATATCATTCAAGATATCCTTTCATCCTTCTTTATCTATATCTTGTTCTTCTCTGATGCCATGCTCTTTCCATTTTACCTTTGGTCTTCCTTTTTTCCTTCTAATTGCAGTTCCATACAAACCAGCATATTCTCTTCTTTTCAATATTTACTAAAATGTTTCTTTCCGGTAACCGAGAAAACAGCAAAAATGGTGAAAACCAAGAAAATGCTGGAACTGCAATAATGGCTAAAATTGAGAAAACAGCGAAGAGTGCAATAATGATGAACATTATCAAACTTTAAAAATCTATTGAACTACTGAATTTATTCCTATTTTTTATAATCACCAAAATACTGAAAATAGTGAGACCACAAAAATGGTGAAAATCGCACAAACGGCAAAAATGGTGAAATCGTGAAAACTTAGAAAATGCTGAAACTGTGATTATGGCAAAAATTGCAAAAAAGGCAAAAATTATGAAAATTTTTAAAATCTTTTAAACTACTAAATTTATTCATATTTTTTTATACGGTAATAATTTGTCTCAATTTTTCGTTATAATATGAGTGAAAAAGAATAAAAACGTGAAAAAAATCATGATACTGTAAAATATGTGACAATACTGAAAACTGTGAAATTGACGAAAACTGCGAAAATGGTGAAAACCGAGAAAATGTAGAAACTGCGATAATAGCGAAAAAGGTGAAAATTTTGATACATTTAAAAATCATATAAACTAATGAATTTATTTCAATTTTTATTAAATGGCGAAACTGCGAAAATTAATGATTCTAGAAAAGAAAAATCTTATTTATATCACAAAAGAAGCACAAAAAAAATCCCTTTTTTTTTTTGGAAAATTCCCGTACACTTCCCAATTTAAGAAATTCTCATGCAATTCCCGGTTTTCGGGAACTTTCCGGTTGTTGGACACATTGCTACATTAGATCCCAAGTCTAAAGTCTAAATTATGCTTAAATACCAGAAAAAGAACTTGAAATTTTATTTTTGAAAACAGCAAAATTAAGAATAAAAAATTTAAAAACTGCTGGCAGACTGCGTGCCGATTCCGAACCCCTGGCTTGCCACATTTTGGCAGACGTGCTTTGGGTTGCGCACCCATGGACTATAATATGAGAATAAAAATTTATATCTATGCTTAAATAAATAAAATACTGACAGTAAAATATTAAAAAATAGTGTTCTCACTTATCATTACCTAACCTAACTGCATCCTCCAATGATAAAAAGAATTTAAGTGCTATAACATTCAGTGTTAAAGACGACACACTACTTATACAGACATATGACACATTTATTATTGTAATTAAACATATATTAGGTAGGTATAAGTTAATTTATCCCATTTAATCATCACTATTAATTTATTTTTAGAAACAAAACATTTGCTTTATTCAATAATTAGTTAATGTAAAGATATTCTAAAATATAGCAAAAGTCATTTAGAATAAAATATTTTATAAAAAGAGATGAGAGAAATATACCTTAGAATTGTGTAAAATTGGATGATCACGAACTCCAGGAAAGAATACTTTCATGATGTATTCATTATGATCTAATGTTGGAATCCCAGAAGATTCTAAATCAGCAGTTAAATCTGTCATATCAGTTTGAAGTTCTGCAAAAGCTATAAATTAATTTGAAAAATAATTAATTAACTTTTTTTACACAAAATTATATCAGAAATTGAGAAGCTGATGTTGATCTGGACCAAACGATTACCAAAGTTATGGAAGAGAAATTGAATAAGACTTTCTAAACAAATGGTATAATTCCATACAAGGAGCTTAAGTGCCAAGTAATGTTTTTAAATAATGATTTTCTTTTAATGTTCTAGAAATTAAAAAAAAAATATATTTGTAATTGTGCGATGATAGCAGCCGAATTAAACAAGTTGTGCAAATTTAAACAAGCAATTTAAGCAAGTTAAATAATGTTGGCACAAATAAAATAAATATTCTGTAGTGTATTTCACACCAACTGCAATCTCCAAACAACTTCTCATATTAAAATTATCTACAGTCGACCATTTCTTCACAATTGAAAAGCAGAAAAATTGACTAATTTTCAGAAATACTTTGTAGAATCTCACACACAAATTTTTGAGCTTCAATTTAGAGAATTTAAAAAAAGTAGCTTCTTTTCATCAGCTTTCCAACTTATGTAATATGCAATATGTAATATTGCAATGTTAAATTAATTTTGAAAAGATATTTAGGTTGGGAGGTCAAAAAACATGAAATATCTATAACAATATGATTCCTTTCTATTATTTGTTTCTCCTGGTTTTGATATCTTACATAAGGGATTGAGGATGAGTTACTAATACAAACAATAGAAAATAAAAATATCACTGTCAAACAGAAAGAAGAATTTCATGACAAAATTATTTTTCAGTAGAAATTACAAGTCACACTCAAACTTAAAACCTGTGGCAAATGGATATAATGTTTTTAACAAATGACTTTATTCAAGTTGCTGGGATGAACAGCTAACTTCATAGATAACTAAAGACAAAATTTCTTGAGGAATTATTTTGTGTAATCCTTTATCCTTTTTTAACTAAAAAATATTTTCTCATGAGATCATACAATTATTTGAAATCAAAGAATTCGACTAATTGACTGTAATATAACCATTTGTGGATACTATCTAAAATAATTTATAGTTAAGATAATCAGTCTATTTTTTTTTTTATTCTGGTCACCAATTTTTTGACCCAAGCATGTGGGTCATCATCAGAGCAATAAATTAAAAATTACATTAGAAAATATCAAGTATAGACAGAAAAACAGGCGTTATGATATGTTTCTATCACTATTATCTTATATATACTATTTATATTTTTCTCTTGGCTAACTTCTGTCTATATTTTATATTTTTGATGTAATTTTTAACTTTTAGCCCTGATGATGACCCGATGCTTGGTTTTAAAAGTAAACAACCAGAATAAAGAAATTTATACTGAAAATCCTGATTACACCTTATTCAACATAATTTTCAAAGAACAGTCAACAAAAATCTATGTCTACATAAGTGAATACATACATTAGTGAGAGAACAAAATCCAGTTGGATAATTGAAATCAACAAAGAAGCTGCATGCATCAAACTGAAAAGTAGTAACCCAAGGTAGGCAGAGGTAGAGAAGGCTGGTTCAAGACCTACAAGGCCTCTAAGCCAATAGTAGGGAAGGGAGAAGACTCAGATAATAGATTTTTAAAAAATGTTAATTAACTGATATCATAAATATCTATAATGACAAATTGAAATGAGCAGAGGATTACTTATATTCAATAATAAATAATCTGTAAAACAAACTTTCTAGTGCACTTACATAACAAAATTAAAAAAAAAATTCATTTCAATGCTATTTTGCCAGTTCAATCTCAAAGAATTATTTATAACATTAAAGTTACATTGGTAGTCAATAATTGAACAGGCAGGACATGTATTACCTTATAATAAAAGTTATTAAATTACCTTGCTTGCATTCTGAGCGAACATTACTCTCTAAAGTATCCATTTGAATCTGAATTCTTTTATATTCACGTTCTGCTTGAGTGGATTTACGTCTATAAACTATTAGCACTATAACAAAAAGAAACACTAAACATGCCACTCCAGCTGCGATTCCAACTATTGCTTCAGGAGGAAAAGAATAAGAGTAAAGCATGTCATATTGCAAATAGCCAATCTGGAACCTTAAGCTTCTTCCTACCCGAACCTGAAACCAAAACAATTTAAAATAATTAACTGAAGGATTAAGATAGTTCAATAAAACTAAGAGAGTTAAATTCTATAGAAAGCAGTTCATTTCCCCCCATTTTCAACTTCGTAATTATTCATAACATAAACAGGAAAACATTAGTCTATAAAATTAGAGAAGACATGGAAACAGTTTCCCTTTACAAAAGATCCTCTTCCATCAATACCTGTTTTCAATTTAAGGTAGAACTTCACTGGTATGGTCCACTGTATCAACTGCAGATCAACGTTGTGTTGAGGGAATAGAACAGACCATATTCAATTGGCAGTGCTTCATTTGCCAACTGCTTTATCTTGACCCTTCCTGGAGGAGTCTAATGATCAACAGTGCTACAGTTCTTGGTTATATTATCTTATAGAAGAAGAATATCATTAAAATATGATAACAGTCACATTGCAGTAGTTTCTAGGTTTTCTTTTCTTTTTTTTCATCATCAAAGTAGTACAGGACTAGATACCTATCAGATAAGATATATTACGACAAGTTAACTAACCAAATAAAAATGGAAATTAGAAAATACAAAATTCAAAATTTACTTAACCTGACAGAAAAGCTTACTACAACTGACAAATAACTATGGTTGACCACTAAAAAGCTCCTGAAATTGAAAGATTTTAACCACCCATTTATTACTGAAACCCAAACCTGGTCCAGATCTGATGAAGAAAAATCTCAAATATTTGCTCAGCACCTCTTCCAAACCTTTCATCCACACCCAGATATCCTTAATCCAATCCACCTTGAGTATATTGAAGCAGAATTGGATATCTGAATCCAAGTGACTCTTCCACCTAAAGCATTACATCCTTCAAAAATATCTAATTATCATTCACAGATTACCTTCCCGCAAAGCTCCTGGCCATGACATAATCACATCCCAGATAATAAAACTGCTTCCTCAGAAGGCCATACTATTTCTCACCAATATATATAATGCTGTACTCAGAACCACTTATTTTCCTGACCCTTGGGAACTATCAATTGTCAAAATGATACAGAAAACCATTAATGGGTGATAAATATTCAGGACGCAGTCTTTTTTTAAGAAATTTTTTTAAATTTTTTATTTATGCTAACATTTCAACCCAAAAATGTGGGTCATCTTCAGGGCTAACAATTATTTAAAATACAATCAGAGATATAGTATTATACGATCGATAATGGTAAATAATAAACAATAGTGATTGATGGTACATGAATCTTAACTAATATTGCAATACACATATTAAAAATGAAATATGTAAATAGTTATACGTTATACGTAATGAGTAATAAATCCGATACATAGGACTCCACCTGGAAAAACTACTCACTTTGAATCCTCATACCAGATTGAAATGACTAGAAACTGCCTGACCTTTTCGACTACTCCAGCACTTACTAGACAAACGCTCTTAACTTTCAATTAATAGGGTGTACAAAAAAAAATTACTGTTTTTCAAACAAATATTTTTATTATTATTTCTCTGATATAAAATACAATTAATACTCAAATTATAGTCCATTGTTATCTACAGTCATAAGCCATCCGCTAACCAATTACTTCCGCAAAATTATCAAATTTTTTCCCTTGAAGAAATTGGGCTATGGATCTAAATAAGTAGTAATTCAATGGTGCGATTCTGAACGATATGATGGATGAGGCATGAGTTTTTCAGACAAGGGTTTTTCAATAAATTTTCACTAATTTCTAACCTCCTAGCTGATTGCGGAGGAGTAAGTTTGTGAAGGACCAGTCTACTGCCCTTTTTCACCTTCCTCATGAAGAGTAGATAGAATAGAATACAATAGAAAATAGAACTTTATTCTGGGACTAAGTCCCATTAGAATAACAAAGATGAATTAATACAAAATAAAATACCAATCTGGCCAAAAACTAACTTATAAAAATTCTAACATAATATACATTATTTAAAAAGTAGTATGTAACCACTAAGAAATAAACAAAAAAAATATACATATATATAAATACACGCACATATACATACATACACACACATACACATACATACATACATATATATTATGTATTATATATATATATATATATATATATATATATATATATATATACATATATATATATATATATATACATATATATATATATATACATATATATATATATATATATACACACACACACACATATACACATACATATACATATATATATGAACATACAATCTTCACCAAATTTACTTATTATTATGATTAAAAAAAAAAAAAAAAAAAAAAAAGAAATTATATATCTATATATACATAACCGCACAATTTATAAACAATAGGCTATCTAATAGAAACATAATTTAATACAAAATGTAGTAATATTTACAGTGATTCATACAATAATAAGCAAACACTAAGATAAAATAAAATCTCAGGAATAATTGTAGTATAAAGGTAAAAAAGGAACTATATTTACGTACTTACTCATATTGGTACACAGAGAGACAAAAAGTATAAAATATAAACATATATACATGAAAGAAAAAGCACAACCTGAGGTGAAGAGAAATAAAAATAAATAGTAAAAAAATCATTGCTGTTTTATATTAAAACTTAAACAGTAGGCATCACCATTTACTTCTCACAAATTCAGTTCATAGAATGAAATTTATGGTTGCAAATCGTCTGTTTGGGATGTGAGGAGATATTGGAAAAGGAGGTATTTGAAGGTTGACAGTGAAGAGGCATGACGGATGTTATGTGGCAAAGAATTCCAGTAGATGACGGAGCGGGCTATGAAGGAACGTTCATAGGTTTTTGTCTTGTGTAATGGAATATAGAGGTCAGAATCACGGGATCTCGTTTTTATTGAGTGGACTATAGGTTTCGGCTGGAGGAGACAGTAGATATAGGAAGGGTGCTGGGAGTTGATCGTTTGGGTGGGACACATGAGACCATCTCGAAGTGCCGAAGACAAATCTTAAAAAACAGTTCATGATTCTCTTCAGTCTATCCTCAAGCTCCAACGAGAGGCCACCATATACCACACAGCCATAGTCAAAGTAGGGGAAAATCAATGAGGAAACGAGGAGCTTGCGGATAGGTTGTGGGAGATGCTGACGAGAACGATGAAATAGTTTAAGGAAGGTCATTGATGTAAGAATTAAAAAGGATAGGAGAAATGCTTGAACCCTGGGCTACTCCATGAGACAAAATGAGGAAAGAAGATAAGGGTTGAATCGGAATACTAACAGCTTGAGTCCTGTCAGAAAGGACTAACAGATGGCGACTAACAGTATCTTTTAACACACCACACTCCCTGGCAAATTCGCGAGTACTTGATTTGATTCAACAGCTTCCTGCAGAGCCTCATCAATATCCATTAATGGTCGCTTGGAGCTCTTCTTCCTTTCCAAAATCGTAACTCCACTACTAAATTTTTCAAATTTTTCGCGCATTGAGCTGGTCAAGAACATTTTTCCCTTTATATTTAATAATTTCACAAGTTGCTTCAGCGGCTGTGAAATTTTTTTTCCAGTAAGGCCTTAAAATTACAAGAATTTTGTAGGAAACTGTCATGTTTCTTCTTTGAAATAAATAACTAAACTGAGACTTTTTTTTTGAAGAAGTCAAATGGGATTAAAAAAACTTAGGGAATACTCTAAAGGGATTAATAACCATTGTTAAGTATTAAAATATTTAGCCCTTTAAAATCTTAAATTTGACAAAACGGTAAATTTTTTTTTATAGACCGTTACTTACAAAAGACTCATATATATTACTATAATAAGGCCTATTGAGCTTTGGGGTTCTGCTAAACCCTTAAATTTCTCACGTATCCAATCATTACAATCCAAAATCCTTCATAAAACCATCAATGCTTCTTTGTCGCAAATAAAAAAATCATCCGATTTACCTCAAACCTGATACCTATCCTTCCATAATAAACTTCTGAACCATCCAAACCCTCTTGTTCCTAAATTTGCTTCCTCTTCTATTCCTGATAACCCTCCGAGACATCTGAAAAGAAGATGGCCTCGGGACCTTCTAATAGTTTCTCTTTATATTGCATGTCATGTTAATAAATTCAAATTTACTTGTTGTATTTTTCATGTAACACAGTTGTAAATTTCAATAAATATGTTTAATATATATATATATATATATATATATATATATATATATATATATATATATATATATAAATATATATATATACATTTACAACTTTTCCTTAATCGACCTTTGAGTATTAAATTTAAACTTAACTATTTAATTGGGAATAAGGTCACTTAATTAAGTGACCTTATTCCCAATTAAATAGTTAAGTTTAAATATATATATATATATATATATATATATATATTAATACAATGTTTTTATAATTCGATCTTTATATATTATAACTTAAGATATCAGTTAGAGTCGGATAATAGGTCATGAAATTTTATCTGACAATAATTGATATCTTAAGTAATATATATATATATATATATATATATATATATATATATATATATATATATATATATATATATATAAAAACATAAACATATATAACACTTACAACAACTGAAGGAAGTCCTTTCAATGTAGGGATGCCATTTTCATCAGTGGGGGCTGGCTGTTTTTGTGGAGGGGAGCAAACAAGTTGAGTCATAGCTAATGATGTCACATTGCAAGGCACAATGCCTATAGTAACATTAACATCACTTTCATCACTAGCATAATTTAAATTTTCACCCTAAAATGTATTAACATACATTAATATACAAAGTTAACAGAATTTTGTTTTAAGTAACCATTTAAAAAAATAAAATGGACACTAATAACAATTAGATGATTTCTATGAAGCAAGAGGATCTTAAAATTAAAAAAAATCCTTAATCATAACATTCAAATCAATATTTAATATTCATATGGTAACAAATTTAAACATTTTGGTAACAAATTTTTAATTTTCATAGATACTGTAATACTCTATCAATAAGTAGAAAATGATAATATGTAATTATATTAAAGAACTCCTGACTTTCAAATCAACTTTGTCTTTTAATATTAAAAATTTCTGTATTCAAATAAAATTAATAGAGATTTGTCTTTTCATAAATTAAAAACTTCTTTATTCAGGTAAAATTAATAGAGACCGACCGATATCGAAATAATGGCCGATACCAATAATCGGCAAATCCCGATATTTCAAAGGCCAACATGGCCAATTTTTTCCCTTTGCGTCAAATTTTATACAGTTTCACAAGGAAATATCCTACTTATTGCTAAATAAAATAATAAATAGACCATCTACACATCGGCCTATACACAAATTTTGACTGATAAACCTATATTTTAGCATCTTGGCCTTTCGTTTTTACAAGACTAGTTCTGTACAACATCACACAGAAAATTCTTGTAATTACTGAATAAAAGTGTTAATCAATCATCTAGGATTTAATCTGTATATAAATTTTAGCCGATTCCGATATATCAGCCTTACAACCTTATTTAATTGAGATCAGTAGACTTTGAACATTTTTTTTTATTAATTCGCGTTTTTTGGTTTCTCCTTCTCCAAATTTGAGCATATACCTATATTTTAAAGAAAAATGTATTGGTCTGATGACTTCATTTTATTGATATGGGTAGAGTTTGGTCGGTTTTTTGTTTTTCTTTATAATTTTTAATGGTACTTCCCTTCCCCTTATTTAAGCAGATACCAATATTTCAAAGTCTCAGATGCATAATACTGCTGCTGCTAATTTTTTCCAATTCAGTCCTAAGATGTTCTGTTTTCTTGATTCAACCTTTTATTATTATTCTCCGTGTTTCCATTCTTTCCATCCATAAATGAATTGTTTGAACTGCTGGAAATTATCCTAACTTTCTAACTGAGGAAACTCATTTTGAATTTGAGTGAGATTTTGAATGTAAATTTCGTGGCTTTAATTTTAACAACTTTTTGAATCTTGAAAAATAAGGTTGTAAGGCCGATATTTCGGCCTAAAGGGAGATGAAAAAAAATTTTGGATGAACAAAAAAGAAAAAGAAAATTTGAAGAAAAAAAAAAATGTCAAACCCTACCAATCATGATAAAATAAGATCGTAAGGCCAATATATTGGTCTTTGGAATATAGGTATCTGCTCAAATTTTGGAAAACACAGGACCAAAAAAAAAATAAAATAAAATAAATCACTATAAAATAATGATCACTACCAATCACAATAAAATAATGTCATAAGGCTGATATATTGGTATCCCCTCACAATAGGAGGAAGAGAGGAGCGAAAAAATGAACAAAATTGGCCAAACTCTACCAATCTCCATAAAATAAGGTCGAAAGGCCAATATATTATTGATCTTCAGAATATCGGTAACTGCTGAAATTTGGGAGGAGGGAAGGAGCAAAAAAAAAAAAAAAAAAAGAAGAAGGCTGATATATCGGCATATCGGCCTCTGGTATCGGCTGATACCGATAATCAGCTAGAAGACCGATATTAATATCAGTATCAGTTGATGTCTAAGTTCATCTTATAATATTTTATAATACAAAGAGAAGTGCCTGAAGCCTTCAAAGTTTGAATGGGCTTATGGCAGGGAGATGGACTATCACCGATGTTGTTCAACTTAGCTCTGGAGTAGGTAATAAGAGCAACATCACAAGAAAATGGTAGGGTCCATGTTGGAATGAATCATAAAATCCTTGGATACGCAGATGATATAGCTATCCTTGGAAGTAATCAAGAAGACAATGAGAAACTCGCTGATAAGAGAGGCAGAACAGTTCGGCCTACAAGTAAATGAAGACAAAACAAAATATATGGTAAGGCGAAAATTCCACCCCAATAACAGGATCTGCGTAGAAGGAAAATCATTCCCGAGAGTAGAAAAATTCAAATAACTCAGCTCCATAATAACGATGAATGACCAATGGACAGAAAGAGACCAGCGTATAACGAGCGCAAACAGAGCTTTCTTCTACCTATCAAAGGTATTGAAATCCTGAAAAATCTCAAACTAAGGGTGTACAATGCTATGATAAAGCCAGTTCTAATATATGGCTGTGAGACTTGAACACTAACCCACATCCTAGAAAACGGTGTTCAAGATTTGAGAGGAAAATCCTCCGCCCGATAACCGGAGCAATCAGGGATCAGAGTAGTAACACATGGAGAGGAAAGAATAATAAAGAACTGCTTACAGAAACTGGTCAATCAATATTCCATTATATAAAAGCATGGAGGTTAAGATGGGCGGGGCATGTACCTGGAAGCCTCTACTTAACAATGAATGCCTCAATAGAAGGCAAAAGACCACGTGGAAGGCCAAAAAGCAGATGGATAGATAGAATCAACAAAGATGTAACAGAGCTGTGTGCAGATAAATGGAAAGAAATAGCCCAAGACAGGCAGAGAAGAAGGCGGCAAAAGATCTACATGGTGTGTAATGCCAACAGAAAAAAAAAAATTATAAAATTTATAATATTATAATATAATTATAATTTTATATCATAAAATTAAAATTAATATAGATTATATAAAATTTTACTACTTTATCCTGTATATACAACTGTCCCGTAATATTCCTACCTGAATTTCAGATATTACTTATTAAAAATATATTTAAATCATACAGAAAATCATTACTTGCTTGAAACCCTAAATTAAAATGGGAAGAAATAGTGTGAAAGGAAAAATTTTCCACCAGAAAAAGTAAGTTAGATACAAATAATGGTGCAATGGGTGGAGAAAATAACGTATTTCAGCATACGGCATATAACTATTAATTATGACCTAGGCCCCTTTGTATTATTAATATTATCAGCAATTGTGAATTAAGATTTGAATAAATTGCACCCAGTTAGTGTAGGTAGCAAATTGTTCAGAAGATTTCCTCCTTTCTATAATAAATTTGTTTATATCCAGTCTATAGAGGAAAATAAAACAAAAGCCACATTAAAAGATGAATAATGCCAATTTATTACAAGACCCTTTTGTATCCCCATTACACAATATTATATTTGTCTTCTCTGGGCTCATATGAGTAAACATAAGAACTCCATTCATTGTATTGAGTATGGATATCATAAAAGAGAATATATTTTTGTAGGAGATTGTCTCCTGTCAATCATCATCAAAATCAGTGTCCCAAATATTTACAACAGTCAGAAAATAAAAATTCAGCTATGAATGAAAATATAACACCTGTTAAAGTTGATAAAATGGACATAACCCTTAACTGAATAAGCGACAGTTTCAACCTAGCATCTTGGTAATAAACTACATAAATATGCATAAAACTAACAAACTACATGTATCTTTTGTTACAAATGTAAATATTTTCTTATTGTCATCGTTATTTTATTAATGGAGATGAATTCTATAAAGAAACAATTTTTTAAATTTGAAGTTAACTGATTTTGAACAGATGTATTAATATTAAAATAAAATATATTAATATTATTATTATATTTAAAACCATTACATACTTCTATGACTAGAGTATCTCCTTTATAAAGCTTGATATCATTTGGGAACTCAAAAAAATTAGGATCATCAACATAAATCAGCTGGGACCTTAAACTTTTATAATGTTTTTCAAGATCCCTGACAGAAAGTACGAAATCCATTAAGAAACCAATCTTCAAAATTAACTTAGGATGACGTTCAATTGATTTTCCAGGTAAAGATCTCCGTTTCCGATCATATTGAAAAGTTCTCTTGAATTCATCATTAACTCCAGGAGAAGGGCATTCCATTTGAGCAGCATTAATGACAGTACAAGCCTGAAGGTAAATGGAAAATTTATTTACATTTAATACTAATAAAATGAATTTACTAATGAAATAACATAGTTTAAAAACTATTCAATTTAAATTTATAAAAATTAAATATGAGACAATACTAATTACTACTGATATACTAATACTATTGAAGGTAAACATCTTAATAATAATAAAATAAGTTTGCTTAGGGCGGCTCAGATGAGCTGCTAGCCAGTATGCTTAATGATCTACCTCCCAAAAGGATTTGGATCTAATATTTGATGAAAGAAAATATTTGAACGTGCGAAACTGGATGACAGTGCCACAGAATAGAGAAGCATGGTGGTTACTACTGGAGGAAGCCAGGACCATTTAAGGGTTATAGAAATCAAAGAAAACCATAAAAGAAAATTTGGTTGGGGTAATAATATTTTAGCAGTAATTAAAAATAACCTAGAGCATCTATATTGGCAAACCAATATTTATGGATTCCATTTAAATCACATAAAATCAATGTAGTTCAAACCCAAATCCATTTTTATTAAATCCAATAATCCCAAGTGCATCAATGTCAAATCCATAAAGTACAAACCTTTTTTTTCTAGATTATTTAAATAATAATATAGGAACAATTTATCTAGGGAGGGGGACAGCTCAGTAATAGGGTGCTGAGCTTTTAATACTTGAGGTTCCAGGTTCCAATCCTGGCTTAAGGGCAGATAAATTATTTATTCTGTTTCATGAGTCGTGCATCGATCCTGAGGTCGGGAGACCCTCCTGGGGCATACCCAGCCTGTATAAAGTGGGTACCCTTAATTAAAATAATTAGTTAAGGGGAGAAACCTGGTGGTTGAGCATGATCTCATTCAAATCACCTCTTTGCACAACCTTTGACCAAGAAACAGTACCTTACCTACATAATACTGAACCCAAGACCCTTCATGGGTTGTAGTGGTACAAGTTATTTTTATTATTTAAAGGAACAATCTATGGAAAGTATATAAAAGTTTTTAATTAGTAATTTTGGGTTCTATAAAATTGTAAAATAAAAGGAGATAGTTAAAATATAGGAAAATCACCAAAAATATAATTTGTTAGTGATAAGATAACGGTGATAATTTTAACAACAAGTAGTAAAACACATAAACTATAAAAAACTATAAATAATTTTCTACTGGAAACATTATGATATAGTATAAAGGGACTGTGATATATAGAAAATGAAAAAACAGATATAATGTGGGAATAATAAAGAATGCGGAAATAGCTATAGAAAGGAATAAACCAAGAAATGCCCCAGGGATAAAAAATCTACCATCATAACTGTTTAAAGATAAGGGAGAAGACTTCAGACCTAAATTACTACAAATAATACTAGAAAACATGCAAAGAGGAAAGGATACTAGAGGCTTGGAAGATGGGCTTAATCAGCTCTATTCAACAGAAAGGTTCCTAGTACGAGTGTAGTAATTACAGAGGCATATTCCTTCCTATTGCCGACAAGATAATGACCAATATCCAACTAAACCAGATATATCCATATTACAAAAATATAATAGATGACCACCAAGCTGGATTCAGAGAAGGAAAGAGCACACTAGATCAAATTTTCATCCTAAAACAAGTACTTGAAAAAGATGAGAAGTAGCTCAGGACATCCACATCCTATTTTTCGATATCAAAGCAATCTATAATTCTGTGGACAGGAACTATCTTTGAGAAATCATCATTGAATTGGGAGTTCTCGGGGAGTTGTGAGATCAACGAGAAAATTGGCCTACAAGTAAATGAAGATAAAACAAATAGATTAGGTTGTCCTCTAAGTTATTTTCCTCTTCTTTATTTGTAGTTTAAGATTGATTTACTATGTTATATATGAACCGTTCTGCACTGTTACTTTTTTTTATCTCTCAGGAAGCCTCTTATACCCTTTTTTCAAAATTTTTGAGACTTACTTGTAAAATATTCATCGAGAAACGTATTTTGCTTTCAGATTTTTGACATTTATCATGGAGAGAATTTTTTAACAAAAGAAACAAGTAATAATCAGATGTGGCAAGGTCTGGGAAATAGGTAGAAAGTCCCAATCAAACTTTTTTGTCTCACGACCAATTCTCTATGCTGCTTTGACCGTAATACAGAAACTCTTGTACAAGTTGAGACAAAGCTTGGTGAACAGGTGCTACAAAGGATGCAAGAGTAAATACAGGAAATTGGAAATAAATCGACAGCGAGGAGTGATCCTGCGGGCATGAGCGAAATTTAAGCTGCAGTTTTTCTTTACTGCAGAGCATTGTGTTGTTAATTCAACATTTTCAAATGGGAGATATTAATGATTTTTTTATCGATTCTTTAGTAACTTCCGAGTCTGATTCCAATGATGTGGAAAATGGAATTATCAATTCATTACTCCATAAAAAAAATCAAAAAGTAATTACTTAAATAAACAAAAAACGCATTAATAAATTCGTCCTAAAATTATTATAGATTAACCAGAAAATAGATGCATGGATTCATTTAGAAATCTATAGCTGCTGAAGATTTTAATCCTTCCAGGTCTATCTGATATGAAGAAAATTTTGCCATATTTTTAAGGTGAGAAATTTATTCATTTACTGTAAATCAACTTTTAAATATTTAGAAAGTAATAACGTTTGTGCATTTGTGCAAAAATAAATAATTAATAAATAAAGTTATCAGTTTTCAGACAGATTTCTTTGGCAACTTTGTCCCAAATATGAGATTTCAATTTTACTTTTAAATAATCACCAGATGAAGTGTCGTACATAATTTGTCTCCTAATTACTTCAATTCATTTTTCCTCCATCATTTACTTTATCTGCAAGCCTTAGTTCGAACTCAAACCGCAGCTCATGGAAGTTGAGCTTAATCCGGTGTGAGCTCACCCTGCCCGTTCGCTGTTCTATTCTATTCTATCTATCACAGAATTTCACCGTGAGTGGAATCATATCCACTCACTAAGTTGGGGCTCATCTTGCGCCCGACTTTACAGTTGATTGCTACTTTTACCGAATCCTCTGTACTCCCCAGACCTGCCCCATCCGATTATTACTTGCTTCTTTTGTTAAAAAATTCTATCCACGATAAATGTAAAAAATCGTATATGCAATAAATAAATAGTATATAAATTGTATATGATTGAAATAAAAAATGCATCTCGATGAATATTTTGCAAGTAAGTCTAAAAATTTTGGAAAAATGATATTAGGGGCTTCTTGAGAGATGGAAGAAATTAATAGATCAAAATGGTTCATATGTAACACAGTAAATCAATCTTAAACAACCAATAAAAAAAAGAGAAAGAACTTATAAAACAATCTAATCTTAATAAATTCCACACCAATAACAGGATACGTGTAGAAGAGAAATCGTTCCTGTGAGTAGACAAATTAAAATACCTTGGCTCCACAATAACCTCAATGAATGACCAAAGATTGGTAATAGACCAGCAGTGTATAACAAGCACAAACAGAGCTTCCTTCTACCTTTCACATGTACCGAAATATCTCAAATTAAGGGTTTATAATGCTATGATAAAACCAGTTCTGATATATGGCTGATACCTGAAGAAACCTAGACACTAACCAGCACCCTAGAAATAAGTGTAGAAAGATTTGAGAGAAAAATCCTCTGCATGATAACTGGAGCAATGTGGGATTGATGTATCAATATATGGAGCAGAAAGATTAATAAAGAACTGCTTACAGAAACTGGTTAATCAATATCTCATAATATAAAAGTAAGGAGGTTAAGATGGGCAGATCATATAACTCAGAGCAATCTATTTGGAAGTATACACAACAGTGAATGTCTCAATAGTAGGCAAAAGACCATGTGGAAGGTCGAAAACCAGATGGATAGATTGAATTAACTATGATGCCATAGAGCAGCATGCAAATATCTGGAAAGAAATAGGGCAAGATAGATAGAGATACAGAAGGTTGGTTAAGGCAGCATAACATCAACAAGGGAATGGCAACAGAAAAAAAAGATTCTGATATAGGTTTTGAATGAACAAGTATGTCATAAAAACAGGTAAAAACAATAGTAATGACTTATTACAAAAAGTTAATTAAGAAAAAATTATGAGTAAATACTTACAGTTTTATTTATGATGTTGCTGGATACATTCGAGTAAACAATCATTTCTGGCTTTTGAATAATATTTAAATTTGTTCCATGAACAGTGATCATTCTTCCACCAGATATAAAACTTTTCAACGGTTTAATTTCCAATATACTTGGATCCTGTTTATAAATAAAAGGAGAAGAGAGAGTTCTATTCGCACCATCAATAACAAGAATTAATCTTTTAATAGATCGAGGAATGTTAGCTTGTGAAGTGATACACATAAGCCTGCTGCTTGAAGTCTGTGTGGCATTTACAACACAGCGAAGTTCATCCAAAAAGACAGATACTTTACTTCCAATATTGAGATATTGCCCTGTGATAGCTAACTGTGTTCCTCCACTCTGAGGTCCAGAAAATGGTGTAACACTCTCCAATTTCACATCCTAAAATTAATAAACAGAGGGAAAAAATAGTATTACTAATGTTAACGCCACAGTGTTAATTTATTTTATTTTTTGCTTTTAACAATAGTTTAATTAATTATTGATTTCGTTAATTTCATCAAAACTAAATCAATTAATAATTATATATGTATATTTATGTATATTAAGAATTACAGGCCCATAGCTTATATTGTTTATACTAAATAGGTCAATGGTTTATAATTAAACTACTTGTTATGATTGTAGCCCTAGCTATAAGCAAGTCCTAGGTCATCATAAGGCCGTAAACTTCGCAATACACAGTCTGACTTCGTCCGTCACAGAGCTCAGTGCTGCTAACTACAGTTACACTGCCCATTACAGTCCACCTACTTCTCTGGTCGTGCTTGCCACTGCTCCAGAGCGCTCATGGAAAATCTACATTTGGTCTCTGCATAGGGATTGGAGTGCCAGCGGTTTATCCACCGTTACAAACATCCTGCTTTGCGTGCACATAACATTATGCAACTTTTGTTATTTTGTTCTATATTTTACTTTTTTATTCATTGATATTTACAACGGTATTATAAAAAAAAAAAAATACGACTAGTAAATGAGCACTCATGAATATAATAACATGAAATCTCTTGTTGAGAAACTACCCACTGATAGCAATCAAATAATAAATTTACACAAGAAGATCACGAGGCCACCTTCTTTTCAGATGCCTTGGAGGGTTGTCAGGGATCGAGGAGGAAGCAAAGTTTGAAACAAGAGGGTTTCGATGGTACTGCAGTTTGTTATGGAAGGATAGGTATCTGGATTGGGCCAAATCGGAAACATATGGAACATTAAGGTCTTTATGGATGATTTTATTTGTGACAAAGTAAGGATTTAACAAAGGATTTGGATTGTAAGGATTGGATACGAGAGGAATTTGATGGTTTAGTAGAGCCCCAAAGCTCAATTCTGTAAGTCCAAATAGGTCTTGTTATTGTCATATATATGAGACGTTTGTAATTGATTGAAAGCTTAGAGCATTTTTCTAGTAAGTGTTGGAGTAGTTGGTTGTCAGGGATCGAGGAGGAAGCAAAGTTTGAAACAAGAGGGTTTCGATGGTACTGCAGTTTGTTATGGAAGGATAGCTATCTGGATTGGGCCAAATCGGAAACATATGGAACATTAAGGTCTTTATGGATGATTTTATTTGTGACAAAGTAAGGATTTAACGAAGGATTTGGATTGTAAGGATTGGATACGAGAGGAATTTGATGGTTTAGTAGAGCCCCAAAGCTCAATTCTGTAAGTCCAAATAGGTCTTATTATTGTCATATATATGAGACGTTTGTAATTGATTCAAAGCTTAGAGCATTTTTCTAGTAAGTGTTGGAGTAGTCGGAAACGGTGAGCGGTTTCTTGTCGTTTCAGTCTTGTATAAGGATTCCATGTGAGTCGTTTGTCCAGGTGAAGTCCTAGGTAACGGATTTGTTCAACTGGGATAAGTGGGGAATTGTGAAAGGATACTGTAGGACAGGAAGTCATAGGTTTACGACGAAGGCTGAAGGTAATTTGATGGGATTTATTTGAATTTATTATAATTCTCCAGTTTTGACACCATTCTTCAAGACTTGTGATGTGTGATTGAAGAGTTTAAGATGCAATTGATAAATCATTATTAACCGATAGGATACATGTGTTATCAGCATACCTTGTGATGACAGTGTCAGGAAGGGTTGGGATGTAAGCTGTATAAACTGTGTAAAGGATAGGACCAAGGATACTAGCTTGAGGAACACCAGCAAACTGGGAAAAAAGGGATGAATAAGAGTTTTTGTGATTTACTTTAAAGCATCTATCAGTAAGGTAGGAACGGATAATGAGGAAGTATGTAGGTGGTAGGGGAATTTATGGATTTTGATCATTATTGTAGAGGATCAGTGAGAAGAAAATGTTAGTTAACAAGTAATGAGTGTCTACAACTAGATGAAGACAAAAAAATAATAGAACAAGAGAAAGTTGTAGAAGTTGGATACAATATCGAGGAAAATTCACTTCAGAACAGGATGACTGAAATATAAATGGACAGTTTGAAAGCACCCCAAGATGAGACCCTGACAAACAATGGAATTCATAAATGTATTGTATAATTAATGTATGCTTTTATATTGTATGATTGGGGATGTGTATTAGTTGTCTAAACTCGACCTAGGAATTAATTATTGATTAAAATAAATATTATTTGGTTCAGAAACATTTTGTTTACTTTTCAAAGGGAACATAATCTTACAATATACATATATATATATATATATATATATATATATATATATATATATATATTTTTTTTTTTTTTTCTTTTTTTGGTTGGCACTACAGACCTTGAAAGATCTTTGACCGTGAGATGTGGTCTTCTAAACCACATCCCGATTCCTGATTTAAGTGCACAGGGGTAGGGTCATCAGTCCAACGCCTGGTCAGTGTGAGTTGCCTCCAGTAGCCTGACAGGCCTCACATACCCAGGGGGGGTCTCGGGTAGCATGGCTTTCCCTGGCGGATGATCACCTAAATCGTGCGGTCATCCATCCAAGTGTTAACCATGCTCGGCGTTGCTTAACTTGGTTACCAATAGCAAGCGCCTTAGCCCACATGCTTACCCCAGCCCAGTCTCTCTCTCTCTCTCTCTCTATATATATATATATATATATAAAACCATATATAACCAGTACTACTACAACCTATGAAGGGTCTTGGGTTTAGAGCTATTTAGGGAAAGCACTATTTCTTGGTCAACGGTTGTGCAAGGATGTGATTTGACTGAGATCACACTCAACCGCCAGGTTTTTTCCCTTAATTAATTATTTAATTAAAGGTACCCACTTTATAGGGGCTGGGCGTGCCCCAGGATGGTCTCCCGACCCAGGGTTGCCCCATGGCCAATGAAACACAATAAATAATTTTTCTGCCATGAGCCGGGATTCGAACCTGGGACCTTTAGCATTGGAAGCTCAGTACCCTACCACTGAGCTGCTTGAAAATTTAAAAACTCATGCTTAATACAACTCATATCATTATATATATTTAAGAAATTTGATATTTATAATTATGAATATTGCATGTCATTACAACTGTATTGATACAATGAAATAATGAGAAAAAAAAAATTATAACGACTATTCTCTTACTTTATAACTGAAATTGACTGATGATTCTGTGAATCCTGCTTGGTTTCCAACTACAACAGCTGCAACTTTTTCATTAGAAGTTGCACCCGTACGACAAACGATTCTCACAGATACATCGTATTCTACTAATATACAAGGAGTATTTCCAATGTGAATTTTTCCAGCAACATCTTCCTCTCTTAGCCCCAAATTACTACCTTCTATAGTAACTAAAGTTCCTCCTTCAATAGGTCCACTCAGAGGTTTAATCTTAAAAAAAATAAAAATTAATTTTGATAATTAGTTTGTTTGTTAAATATATAACTTTGTAATAATACTGAAGAATGTGATTAAGTAGAGAAAGTTTGATCTAGAACAATGTTTCAAACTTTTTGGCTCTATTGCAGTCCAGTCTAAGCAATAGAGGAGTTATACAACCTTACAATAATAAGATATAATGGATAAATTAAAATGACAAGCATTATAATCAATGCAAATTATATTTTTTTAGACAAATATCTAAATATTATGACAAACACATTTAACATAAAATTTTACAAGCAGAAATTCATTAGTGAGAAGTAAATAATAGTTGGAAACATTAACAAAAAAAAATATGAACCAGAAAATGAGACAACAGGATCGAAACATTCAAAATAAAATAAATTTGAAGGATTTAATTTTCTTGGAAAAATCTATTGTATTATTAAAAACAAAATATCCTTAATAATGATACAATACAAATTTTAAAATTAATTAGATATCTAAAAAGGTATTATTTTTAAACTTTTTTTCTTAGACTTGGAGAATCCTCCTAGGACAAACACCAAATATTGATTCCATGCGTAACATCTAGTCTTAAAAGAGATTTATATATTTTTAAGGAAGCAGAGTAGCTCAGTGAGCAAGCTACTCAATTCTGAGAACCCAAGTTTAAGTTGGCTAAGGCAGATAATTGTTTATTTTGCTTAATCAGCCATGGATCGATCAACTAAGGGGTTAGGAGATCTTCCTGGGGCTCAAGACCTTCCCAACCACTATAAAATGGGCACCTTTAATTAAGTAATTGATTAAGAGGCAAAACTGGCAATTGAGCATGATCCCAACCTAATGACCTCCCTGCTCAACCTCTGGTCTAGAAATAGTACTTCCTTACAAAGTACTGAATCTAAGACCTTTTATGTGTTGAGGTACAGGATTATGTATATGTATATGTATGTGTATATATATATATATATATATATATATATATATATATATATATATATATATATATATATATATATTAAATTCAAATATAACCAACCAATAAATTAACAGCGGGCTAATGGCTGGTAATAGAGCCTACTATGCAAACCTGAAACTTTTCAATTTTCAACTTTTGTCGAAAGTATATATATATATATATATATATATATAGAGTTATGCTAAGAATCATAATTATTTGAACATATTTTATGTCACCAATATCTTCTTGAACCCTAACAATGAATATTTAATGGTTTTAAATAAAAGATAAATAGTTACCATATCTATACGAGGCTTCGGACATTCTTTTGTAGAAATGTGTTTACAACTGTCCACATAATCACAAGTAGAGGAGCACCAACCACAGCGATATTTTTCTTCTCTCGTGACACACAAAGAGCAATCAGCATGATCTCTATGTGATCCAAGAATATCACATTTATACAGAGTCAAAGCCACTGAGTCTACATGATGATTTCTATTCCATACCAAGCTTACTTCAGCAGTATATTCACCAGTATTAGCTTCATAAGAGTACTAAGGAAACATAATTATTATATTATAAGTATAATAATAATAAATTGGTAATAAAAAAACATTAACACAAGTAAAGGGAAAAATACAAACATGATTCGTTTGTATTGAGAGGTGTTATTTATTGAAATATTTTCATTCTAATCTAGCCAAAATGAGATCTAATCAACTGGCCTTCGACAAAACAAGGTCAACTCTCACAAGTCAAAATTGACAGTCTTTCTGAATATAAAAATCTTCTGTAGAGGTTGGATGAAAAGAATGTATCATGAAAGGCCCCTTTTCGGCTAACCTTGCTACATCGTCTATGTCGACACCAAGGCCCTCCCTCCATAAAGCTCCGTGTTGAGTTTGGTATCGTTCCACAAGCTTCGAACCAAAAGCCTCTCACATTTGAAGTCTCTCACCCCGAAACTCACATGGAACTGTTCCTTAAGGAAAGATACATTTGTCGTATATTTTATTTTTTCCCCTTTTCACCTTACCTGTCTGAACGAGGTCATTGGTTTCGTATCTCACGGTAGGATCCAGAATGACGGCCAACTATTCAGTCTTAGGGAAGGCTACGATGACGGCATATCGTGTGGATCCATCCATATCAATGCAAAGGACTTTCTCGAAACAGGTGTAATCTCTCTCTTTCTAAGGAGCATCAGCAATTCCTATTTTACTCAGTGTGACGGCTGTTGTTATAAGGAAGGAGTTGTTGGGATATTTCCCCAGCACATGTACGTGTTATAATTTTAATTTTGTTATAATCAAACGAAAATCTCACTGCTGACTTAATACATATTTTTAAGACATTATTTTAAATAACTAGTGAGGGAACTTGATTTCTGGTATCAAACATTCTGAAGTGACTCCGTAATGTGTAGCGTGAAGTGCTAATCCTGGTTTCAGAAGCCAAATTCAATTGTGAAACATTAATCAAGAACATAAAATACTTCAAGTAATCAGTCAACTAATTAAATGTCCTTTAAAGATGGTAGAAATCGAAAAGCATAATAAAGACATCTTTGAGAGTGAAAATTTCTGCAGGCATGCGAAAAGTGTGTCCCAATGCCAAATCTGGAGTCTCTTGAGCTAGAAGCGGTCAAGAAAGCTATTAAAACAACATTAATGGACACATCTCCAGGACTTGATGGAGTTCTGATCCACACAATAAAATATTTTTAGGTATCACACATAATCAAAACAATTGCAGAGATAATGCTTAAGGTGGCCTATGTTCCAGAACCACTTTGAGAGGGATGCACAACACGGCAGCGTACAGAGGACTTTTAAAAAAATTGGTTTGGCTATAAATCCTCAACACAAGCACGCTGAACTAGCAGGAATGGAGAAGTTTAGGGCAGATAAAGATGCTTAAAAGTTCTACCACGTAGCCAACAGAAGCCGAAAGCCTTTTAAGCAAATCCCCTCTATATGTGAAAACAACAATGGAGTCTTTCTTACAAATGCTGAATCCTGCATGGCAGAATGGAAGAGGTACTTCCAAGGCTTGTTAAATGAAGATGGTGAAGTACATGGACAAACTACTAATATAGCACTAGAAGGAGATTTAGAGCCTCCTGACGATGAGGAAGTCGTCCAGGCAATTGATCGACTCAAAAATAATAAAACCCCAAGTATTGATGGCGTACCAGCCGAATTATTCAAGCAAGGAGCGACCGAACTTGTCAGATCCCTTCACAATATCATCTTGACTGTGTGGGCCAAATAGAGCATGCCTGAGAAATAGAAAAAGATTTTAAGACCTTAATATGTCCTATACATAAGAAGGTGGATATGCTTAAGTGTGGTAACTATAGGGGAATATCCCTCCTCCCATGTGCCTATAAAATACCATCGAATATACTCTTCCAGCACCTCCTCCCAAATGCGGAAAGTCGACAGACCAGATTTTCAGTCTTCATGGAATTTTTGAAAAAGGTAGAGAATATGAATTCAAGACGCATCATCTCTTTGTTGATTTTAAGTCCGCGTATGATAGCATTGACCAGGATGAACCATATAAGGCTCTCATAGAACTTAATGATCCTCCTAAACTTGTTTGGCTGGTAAGGATATGCGATCGGGGAGTTTCTCGACTGTAAGAGGAGTGAGGTAATGAGATGCTTTGGCATGTCTCCTCTTTAATCTTTAATATTATGTTAAAGGGATGTTACAGCAACTTTTTCATCAAAATCAGCTAACCAAAAGTGGCACTTTATATAATGGACAAATAGACCATATTAAGTATTTAGGATATATATTCTCGGGAGAGCTATAGTTCAATGAAGATTCAGTGACCAGATTAAATGAAAATCTTAATAAGCTGGTAACCTCTTGCTTGCTTAAACCAGAGCAGAAGCTAAACATTGTCAATCAGTATCTGTTCCCAGATCTAACATATCCTCTCCATACTGTGCCCCTCACAAAGCTATGACCTACCATACTAGATGGCATCAACACAATGATTCGCAGGAGTGTAAAGGCCATTAGTGGACTCCTTGCAAACATCTCCTCTACAAAATTTGTCCATTGCTCAGCGACTGTCCAATGTACCAGAAGCCTTTTGGTTCAGAGCTAGTGGAATGATACCAAACTCAACAAGGAGCTTTATGGAGGGCCTTGGTGTCAACATAAAGGACGTAGCAAGGTTGGCCGAAAACATAGTCCTCAACTCCCTGGGAATCATTCACCACCAGATGCATGGGGGCGGAGAGGGTAAGGACTGTGTGCTTGGGTTTGGGAAGGCATATGTTTGCAAAATTTTTAATTATTTATTGTGCAAGACCACTATATTTGTATATATTAATTTTATTTAGTGGGAAAACAAACATGTTTACTATACTGATATAAAATATATTGAAATGATACTGTATATTATAATTATATATATGTATATTGGGGTTAAAGATTGTCTATTATATTGATTAAAAAGTATGCTGTTTATTTAGCAACCCAATATAATGGGGCAGCGCTCTTTTATAAAAATAAATTGTTTCAAATATAAATACAATATAATATAAAATATAAATATAAATAGCAGCAACAGAACTGGTAGGTTTAGTATCTTTCACATTAAGTGATTATTAGTTGTTTTTTCAATTATACCACTTAAAGGTGTTGGGAATTAACATCAATTCTTTTTTTTATTATTTAAATCAAATAGGGCTGTTATTGGTTTCACAAGGACTAAATACTAACCTAATAAAAAGGAATAGAGCTTACCATTGTTTTATCACAAACGATTCGCTGATGTTCCATTTTGGCTGGAACCAACATTTTTGCTCCCTCAATTGTAACTATACATTGAAAACCAAAATGACCTACTTGGGGAGATGGCATATTTTCTACTTCTAATACTATTTCTTTAGATACCCTATTTGGAAGAAGAAGTGGTTTACTGTTTTTAGAAAACTGTGGGCATGAATTTCCTCCATGGCTGGGAATATGTCCAATACTCTGAAAAAAAAAATCATAATATAAGGAAATAATGCCAATGAATACAATAAATAAAGTTTGGTATTTCCTTAAAACTAATGAATCATCATTAATTATATTTTCTAGTATTGTTGACTATTCATTGTATTCAAAATACCATTTCGAACTAAAGATTAGTTTAATGAAAACAATAATTAGTATCCAAAGTTAAATATATTGAGTGAGTAAATAAATACTTTCAAATTTATATATTTTGGTTTTATTTTAAATAACGTAAGTTGATATTATTAACTAGATTTTTTTAAAGCTTCACAGCATGGAAGGTTTTTATAATATAGGAGTTTCTTAAAATCTATGTTGTATACATACCAGAGCATCAATCCGGATGTCAATTAACCCGATAGTCAATTATTTAAACTAATTTTATTTCGCCCAATGCGAACGAACCATCTTGGTCCAAAACATTTCCTACAATTCAAAACTAAGCCAGGAATTGAAAAACTCAAGTCTTTATTTACACATACACAATTTTTACAGGATAAACTTGCTATTTCCCAACTATTCAACACTTAGTTGTTTATGTTAATTGAGTACAACCAGTTTTCTAATGAATTATCGACACAGTAGTAAAATAACTCATGTTTAAATGTTAATTAAACATTATGATCAAAGAAATAATCTTTTAAAAATTGAAATTGCTAGCACACATAAAATTACCTTAGTGTATTTAAAATTAAATGATTAATTTTTAAAAAACAAATAAACTAATATATAATCTCAAATAATTTTTTGTTAGGAGTTAGTCAATAAATAAGTAGTTTTTGTCCAATTTAAGAAAAATCATAAGTACTACAAATAAGCAAATAGACAAGAAGCACTACATCAAAATGATTCTAAAAAATGTAATCAATGAACGAAAACTCACATTTTCACCACTAACAATAATTTTCTGGCATAATGAAGTATTGTGAGTGCATTTATTTTCATAGACACACCAACTACAACCCCATTGGGAATGCACACAACTAATACATTTTGTATGAGATGAGCAGTCATAAAAAGCAAAATTCCTGGAAACAAAATCCTTATTGGTTTCAGATGAACGGACTGAAAGAGGTACAAGAATATGATCTTTTCCACTTGGAATGTGAGGTCGTGATTTGACATTAGGTGTAGGGCAAGTAAGTCCCTGAGGGGTCACCCCTGCATCCAAAGGTTCAGCTTCTCCAAATACACATCTATATTTTGCGCCCACTGGTAGTTCAGGTAAAGTTCTTATGGTCAGATGAACCTATGACATATTAAATCCAAATAAATTATCTAAAAATTGTGAAACAATGTTAACGTTTAAAATTAAAGGCATTAAGTTATAATTAAATAGTTGGCTATTCTTATTAATTAAGGAGGTTGATAGAATTAAAATTTTAAAAAATAGTAAAACAATTTGTTTTTATAATTTTGAGGCATTCTAATTAAAGTAAAGTTAATATTTTTTTATTTAAATATTGTGACATTCATAAGAAAGGTTTTTTTTTCCAACAATCTTTGGCCATCTCAGGTAAAAAAAAAAACAATCAGTCTAGGCATGCAACACTTTCTAAAAGCAGACATGCTAAATTATCTCCCATTAACTGACTTATTCAGTAGTAAAATAGCTGAACTTTGTACAGAGAGAAAGAAAGCAAACTGAACTACTATCAATTCTGCCCAGAGCAGAACATAAACATGGTGAGTAAACACTTGTTTCATAGAAAAATTAAAATCTTATAAAGCAGTAGGAACTGATAATATTCCTACCTTCTTTCAAGTAGTCACAAGAAAAACCACTAAATTAAAACTCTATATAATACTAGTGAAAACAATCATGCCCACTCCTGAGCCTTAAAGAATAAAACAAGTAAATTACTCAAGAATAAAATAAAGTATCTTAAAAATAAAATAATAGAAATACTACAACCAATGGGACGGATCCGCAAGCACCTTCAATGCGGCCCATGAAAGAAAGTTTCTTTAATAATACTGTAAAATTTGAAAAACTATTTAAAAATATGAATTTATTAAATAACATACATGAGGTTACCATAATATCCATAGCATGGGTTTTTTTCTCTTAGAAAGCTCATTTCACAAATGAAGTGACATTTAAAAAACAAAATTTTTTTTTTCGTCACAAGCCATGGCCTGCAGGACTTTGTCTTGGGATTTAGTCACAAAAATATTTGAGACCTCTATTCTAGAGGTATAACCAAACCTATTCTAACCAGAGCGGAAAGCTGGATTTCCAATGGAAAATTCATCCTATGGGTCTGCCACATAATAAATTTTAACCTGCCAGAACCGAACTGGTATTGATAGACTTGAGAATGTTAATTTATGTTTTAACACACTCGGCTGTTATGATCTCACTGCGTCAACTTCTTATTTATTTTTTATTGGATCACCCCCAACCAACCATTTCTGGCATACAGGGGGTTGTTCTAGAGGTACAACAAAACTTATTCTAACCAGAGTGGGAAGGTCAAGTTCCATTCCATGGATGACATAAAATAAAAGTCAAATCCTCCCCTCCCAGGCCAGAATCAAACCAGCGTCACAAGGCATGATAACGCCACAATATGCAACAATCCAACGTGCTCAGACATCATGACCTTTCGTTGCATGAACTATACCTGGTTAATATAATTGAGGGGATTGGGTAGCGGAATATAAAACTGTTGGGATTAGTAACAAAAGTATCCCTAAAAAGTTAACATGCGCTATGCCGACTAGTAAGCGTCCAAGGGATAGACTGTAGTGTAGGTGGGAGGATTGTATTAAGGCAGATCTTACTGGATTGATTTTGGAGGGCAGCCAGGGGATGGAAGTATGTAAACAGTGATTGGTGGTATCTAACCTTCAAGTTTGTTAAGCCATTTTATTTTTTAATTATTTATACATTTTATCTACCTGAAAAATGTATACTATCTATTACTACAATAAACTAAAATATTTTATTATTTGCTACTAACTCACCATAGTCATTTGGGTAATTGGTATTTTATCTGGGAGAATTTGTTCAAAATCAATGCACTGTTGTCCTGTGCCATAAGACAGCCATCTTGGAGCACTGTGACTTGCCTTACGACAAGCGCTACGCACTGTACATCTATTAAAAATAAATAAACAGGTATAATACCTTTTTATATACAACTAAAAATTATAAATGTATAACTAAAACCATATGTCAGAATTGAGAACTCAAGGCATAGAAGGAATACTAACGTTAAAGGATCAAGGCATTGCAATATTTGTAACTAACTCATAAAATATTAACCAAAATATCACATACCACCAATTATCACTTATTGTAAGCAATAAACCACAATTTTGGATACCTGAGATATTAAGAAGATTCATTGATTAGTTCATGTTTCAAAGAATTTGAACATATTAAACAGCTTAGGAAAGGCAAGTTTGGATATCCTGACAATCTTAGAAACTAAGAAAAAGATAATAAAGATATGATAAGTCATGAAAATGTACTATTTTATTCAGGAGCAAGACTCATAAACATGCCAACAGTGAAGTAGCCAGTATATCCCACAAAAAGATTTCCCTATCTATCAAAGAATATATGAAAAACTTTTTAACTGAGATATTAACTAGAGAAAATAAGCTTTACCCTACATCAATATTCATTTCTTACGGTGCAAACAATAATGCACCTGTTATGGAAAAATATTTATCTTCAAGACTCTTCACTATGAGATGGATGATAGTTATGTAATAGTAATCATTATAGACAAGGGGTAACTTGAATAGGGTAACAGGAGGATTAGAATTGGAGACAGGTGTGGGTCAACCCAACTCTTGGTGGAAGGATCAGAAAAAAGTGTCCCACTAACTCCTATGTTAATTCCTAGTCCTCTCGTATCCTTATCAATGTCTACTGTCACCTTTATATGTTACCGTCCAGAGAGACTGATGGGAATCACAAATGACAGAGACGGATCCTTCATTTCTATCATAATGTTAAATAAACTGAGTCTCTATAATTCACACCCAAGCTAGGTAGAGGAAGTTCAATCTGTGGCTGAATTGTAGATGTCAAAAAATATACTTTCTTGGGGTACCAGACCCACCCCATTGAATTAAAGGCCTGCTAAAGGGAGAATATATAAAATATTTAGTGCTATTTAACCACACTCCATACTTCTGGAAAAATATGGCAGATGAAAAATTTTATTATAGCAATAGACCTTTAACCGAGATCGCTACACAGATGGCTCACTTACAACCTATGGCTCAAGAAAATGAGTATCGGGAAAGGAAAAACCACCAGAAGGAACTTTAATTCCTCCAGGTAAATACACTCCATTATTTCAATCTAAAGTGCTAGCAATCAGCTACAGTTGCTCCACCCCGTTAAATGAGGAGCTGAAAGGTAAAAAACAGGTAGTGATAGGGGCACTTAGCAACTATTCTACACAATGAGACCTAGAAAGAGATTACAATGTAACTCTGAACAATCTTGCTTAATTTGATAACATAGCTGTAGAATGGGTACAGAGATATTCTGGTTTTCTAGACAATGAAGAAGCTGATAAGTTAGCTCATAAGGGCTCTGAGACTAATTCCTTATGGCTTAATGTATGATTATCCATATAGGTATTGGTTAGGGGAATCAGTCTGGCAAGTGGGCCTTATGGTCCATTTTGCCATAACCCCAGAACTTGTATGGGGCATAAGACTCAGCTAAGCTAAAAGAAGAATTGGGGAAGCTTATAGTGCTAAAGCCAAATAATATTGTCAGGATGAGTTACAGTTACACTCTGAATTGTTCCTGGATGATCCATAAGCAAGGAGCCTTATAAGTTGACCATATCCACAGGCCTGACAAGAAAAATACACATCTGGCAGCATATAGCCACTGGAATATAAAATGGAGTTAATGTGAAGATAGATAGAGACCCTACATAGGTTGTAAGCGTATACATAGATGCGGTTTAAGACATGAACTAATAGCCAGTTACCCCATAACCATAAATTTAAAGTTGAAAAATTCAATTTATTATTCAAAAAACATAATTTTTTCGGTTTTTCACTTATATAAGCAAAACTATGCGTTCTATCTATAATAATGTCATATGTGAAATTAACGCTGACTAACTTTGCAATAAAAATGGTTATATTAGTTGTTTTCGCTATATTCTATAATTTCCGTGATATCTGTCCTCATAATTCACTAATTTCGAAAAAACAAAATTTTACATTTTATTTTTATCATTATTTGACTCCCCAACTCTTTACATTTTCCTTTTACAAAAAAGTCATGGGGAAGAAAGTTGTTTAATATTAAATTTTCTTTAAGAATATATATTACTTAACTATCCTATCTTCTACCATTCAAAGGCTAGAGCAATTATAATTTAATGATTAACTTACGTTTCACAATTTTCGTTATTACCCAGTTCTTAATCTGTATATAAGACAGTATATATATGTATACTATGTTAGCCAATGTATACATATGTGTATTGTCTTATATACAAATTCAGAGCTGTGTAATATCTAAAATTGTGAAAAGTAAGTTTTTCTTTTCTGTATAGTTTAGGAGTTTAATTATAAAGTTATAATTGCTCTAGCCTTTGAATGGAAAAAAACCTAAAAGTAAAGTTCAGTATAAAACTAAAGTGAATCATGTTAAAAAATCCTTCTAAATGATTAATGTAATACAGGGTATAAGAACTAATTTACAAAAAATGAATAAATAAGAAAGGAAAATAAAAAAAATATAAAAGAAAGAATTTACCTCCTTTCTAATGAGCACCAGCCACAATAAGGATCGTTTGCTTCTAAACATGATGAACAATTTGTATAAGAACTGCAATGCTCAATAGGAACTTTAAAAACCTAGAAAAAAATACCAAAGATTACAAATTATAATGAAACTTTATTGGTTTCATTATAAAAAAAAACTTATTAAAATGCTTTTGTACTATAGGTTCCAAGAATAAAAGTATATAAATTATTATTTTCATTTAAATCTAAACCATTTCAATTAAGAGAACATGGTGAATAAAAGAATAGTTTGTAAATAACTTGATCAGATAAGAAAAGGACAATGATATTCTACTTAAATTTTGAAAAACATATCTTGGAGGAAACTTGATGAATATTGAATTTAAAATAAAAAAAAATAAAAAGGTTTGAAGACCTCTGCTATAAACTATATTAGTTAAAATTGACTGTTTATAATGATTTAATTTCAAATCTACATCTACATTTATTTAAGAGGAGGAGTTGGTCAGAGGGTGAGGTCAAATAAATACTAATTTATTTGACCGCATCCCCCGACCAACTCCTTCTCACATTATATCACAGTCAACCATCTCTACATCTATATTTATTTAAGAGGAGAAGGAGTTGGTCAGAGGGTGAGGTCAAATAAATAGTAATTTATTTGACCGCATCCCCTGACAAACTCCTTCTCACATTATATCATGGTCGACCATCTCTACATCATTATATTTATTTAATTTATATTAATTATCTAAGTTATTTGAACTGGTTGTAATGGCATGGAACCTGCAGGTTTATTAAACCTTAGTATTATAATTGATATATTATTTTAATCAATAGACATAAAATTATATTAAACTTTAATATGGTTTAAATTACCTTATTGGTGGTAAGAACATATAAATGTTCACCAGAGGGAGAAACTATCGTGTCAGGAAGAATCATCATTCCTTCATTTACTGTAATTTCTTCATATTCCCTAGCGACAGATGGGCTAACTAATAGAACCTAAATTAAGTAAATCATAAAAATAAATTAACATTTCATTTCAAGATAAATTAAAAAAACACATACAAATGTAATCCTAACATTTCCTAAATGTTAAATTAAAGTGGAAAATTTAAGGTTGTCATAAATGTAATACAATTTTTTTACTTCAACAATAGGTGAGATTGAGGAAGAAAAAATAAACTTTAGCAATATAACAGCAATGAGGAGTAATATATATTAGAAGAATAAAAGCACTTGTTAGGTGGCTTGATCCAACCCGCTGATAGCTCTTCTAATTGATAGTTCTACTCATATAGTCTGTCAGTTAATGAAGAAACACAGTGAGCACGTGTACTTCATGCTTGGAAAATTTTCACTAATTCTGGCCATATTGGAACCGATATTGGAAGAATGAATAAGTTTGGCAAGAGGGCTATTAATCTATGACACCAACCACAGAATAAATAAGAAAAAAACTATTACTCATCCATTCTAAACATCTGAATTCTTAGGTTTATCTAACAAATACAAGTTTCATCAATGAATATTTGGTGTTCATATTTCATTTTGAGTTCCATCTTCCTAAATCTCTTTTGAAGATTAGTTAGCACCAATAAGTCTCAAATACGTTTTAAAATTATTTTCTAAGTGTATGCCTATATTAATTAACTTTTATTGGATATAGTTCATTTTCCCTATATCCAGTTTTGTCAACATGATGATGTTCTGTATGATAATGTTGAACAGGAGTGAAACAAAGGGGTTACGGGTTACTTTATCTGAGCCTAGTGTTAATATGGATTGTGCATGCAAGTAACTAACCATTGACTTTAACACAACTGAATGTATTTGGCATTGTGCGAACAGTAGGTTTGGAGGGATTTTAAATTATTTCTTTCACAAAAAAGCTCTTCTCTCATGACAGTATTGTACAGGGCCTTAAAATCTATACCCACATTGTGGGACTTAAACAGGACCCACATTGTGTTCCGGAACATTTATTTTTTCATACATTTACTTCAGAGAGAAAATTTGGACTAGGGTAGATCTATTCTACCTAACTTTCACCCTAGTAATCTCCAAGCTTCTCCTCTAAAAACAGAAATAGGCAGTAGAGGGCTGTTAGAGAATTAATAAAAACCTTTATTGAATTAAAGGTTCCAGTTTTTTCTTGATTGAAAACAATGCCCTCTATTGACAACTGTATGAATATAGTTTATAAAAGAAGATTTGAAAATGCCTGTCATTGTTGTTTCTAAAGTGCTCTTGAGATAAATGTGCCTCATATCTTACTACTAACAGTTTTGCTAAGAGTAAGTTGAACATTTATGTTCATGGGTGTTTAAATTTTAGAGTTTTCACAATGAAAATCTTCATTTTATCACTTTAGAACTTCAGCTATTCGATTTCAGCATTAAATATAATTGAAATTAATGTTTTTAACGATTTTTAGGGGGTGTCCATCACTGAATCAAACATCGGCACAAATTTAGTTATGGACACCCATACCCATTACTAGTGTTCTGCACTTTTATGAAAATGTATCATGTTTTTGTAATTTCTGAGTCTAGAAACAACAGAAAATCACATAATATTCTTAGCTTTTCTCTAAAAACATCTCTCACCAGTCTAAGACAGGAGTATCCATCTCTGGGCTCAACCATGTCCATTGCTGGGCCCACCGTGACAATTACTAGATATGTCAATCGATTTTATCACTTATAATAGAATCTTTAGCTCACGTTTGACTGTAAATACACCAGTCAAAAATATTTATAAATCAAATCATATAGGTACATATGGCATGTCACATAGAGTTATTCCTGCTAATTCTCCAAAAAATTACATAAAAAGTTCTCTAAACAAGGTTTTTATTATTAATTTTTTATTTTAAAAAAACAGGAATCAAATTATTCTTCAGATAACAATACCGACTTTTTCTATAGAAAACAAAGTATTTCAATCATAGCATAAAAAGAACTGACTTTGCAATAAAAGATTCATAAAGTTCAAAACACCATGTCTCGGCAGCTAACACCAGCTGTCTGATTCGATAATTTTTTGTTTTTTAGGTAATTTTTTCAATACAAACACACACATATAACTAAACATAAAGCGTGTACTTTTTGGTTAGTAAAATTAACTTATTGTTTTCTTGACTAAATACAAACAATGTTCATTATTGAATATAATAAACCAAAAATCTGAAGTCTGTTTACAGGGTCAAAAGTTGTTATAGGGTCATAGAAAAGATGAGCGATATAGATACTAATGTTCATCCAACGAACTCTTGTAATCCACTGAAGACTGTATTTGTTGAAAGTAGTAGAGAATTTAGAATTATTAACATCAAAAATATATTATATAAATTACCAAAACTACTAGTTTTCGGAAATGAAGGTAACCGACATTACTAATTTCCTTAAAATTTATATGTTTACTGTTGAGCATATATTTATCTATTATAATATTAATAAAAGTGATTTGAAAATAAGGCAATAATCAATAAGGTAATCAATTTTTCTAAAAATATAATAACTATTTTGTAAGAATCTCAATAATTTATGATTAATTTATATATATATATATATATATATATATATATATATATATATATATATAGCATTTCCAAGTCAATTTCAACCTTTTCCAAATCAAATTCAACCTTTTCCAAGTCAAATTAAACCTTTTCCATTTCAAATTCAACCTTTTCCAAGTCAAATTCAACCTTTTCCATTTCAAATTCAACTTTAGAATTTTTGTCAATTTTCGATTTTTTTCGAAATGAAGGCCACTTACTATATTATCGACGGCATAGCTTTTAAAAAATACAAAAAAAAATTGGATTACGCAGTTGAATATCCATTTATTTTAACATTTCAGATTTTTTCAGTGTGATATTTCTATGTCATATTCAATTATTTCCAAGTCAAATTCAACCTTTTCCAAGTCAAATTCAACCTTTTCCAGATCAAATCAAACTTTTTCCAAGTCAATTCAACCATTTCCATTTCAAATTAAACCTTTTCCAATTCAAATTCAACCGTTTTCATTTCAAATTAATGTTTTAAGTTTTTGTAAATTTTATATTTTTTTTTTAAATAATGGCCATCCCCTCCCCCCCTCCAATATGAAAGTCGATTATTATGCTCTCCTAAGTAGAATTTTCACTTACGGATATCGATTTATTGTACCTATTCGGATTTCTTAGTGACTAGTATTATGCTGTCCTGTACCTAGTTTTGAAAATAACCTCCATTTTAAGATTACGTGACTGCGTTTCGAATCATTTAAGTTTTTTTGACAAATTCGATATGTGGGTGTATTTTTATGTTTCCCGATCAGTAAATTTTGAAAATGACATCCATTTTATGTTTACGCCACTGTGTTTTGACTTATTTAAGTTTTTAGAATTTATCCAATATAAAGGTCTACTTTTATGTTTCCGGAGCCGTAGATATTGAAAACAACCTTCATTTTAAAATTAGGCCACCGCGTTTCGACTTATTTGAATTTTTCGGATATTTTTCATATGAGGGTGTATTTTTATGTTTCCGGAGCTGTAGATTTTAAAAATGACCTCCATTTTAAGATTAGGCCACCGCGTTTCGACTTATTTGAGTTTTTCGGATATTTTTCATATGAGGGTGTATTTTTATGTTTCCGGAGCTGTAGATTTTGAAAATGACCTCCATTTTAAGATTAGGCCACCGCGTTTCGACTTATTTGAGTTTTTCGGATTTTTGTCATATGAGGATGTATTCTTATGTTTCCGGAGCCGTAGATTTTGAAAACGACCTCCATTTTAAGATTAGGCCACCGCATTTCAATTTCTTTGAGTTTTTCGGATTTTTTCATATGAGGATGTATTCTTATGTTTCCGGAGCCGTAGATTTTGAAAACGACCTCCATTTTAAGATTAGGCCACCGCATTTCGGCTTATTCAAGTTTTTCGAATTTATCCAATTTAAAGGTCTACTTTTATGATGCCGGAGCCTTAGTTTTTAAAACGACTTACATTTTAAGATTAGGCCACTGTGTTTCGGTTTTGTTAAGTGTTTTTGATTTTTCCTTCGAATAAAAAACATAATACGAAGGATTAATTTATTTTTCAATAAATAAATAAAAATATCTAATCAAAATAAATAAAATATGTATTGTCTCATTTTTAATTTAATTTTAGTTATCTTTTTTAATGCTGTGGTCTCCTATCACAAAATTATAAGATTTCGAACAATTAGCTGAAAAATCTGAATAAGGAAGGTTCAATTTATTACCAGTTGCTTTTCGGCTTTTTAGTTTGTATTCTGTGGTTAATTTTACTTTAGCTTCATAATATTTATTTATTTATTCATACTCGAAAATTGATGAAACTTTGTATTGAAAAAATCCAAAATGAAGCCTAATTAATCAAGATGCAGCGGCTTAATCATAAAATGGAGCTTAAATATTAGATAAATTTAAATATTAAAGATTAGAAAAATTTCAATACGTCTCGGATAACATATAAGTAGATCCTTATACCGAAAAAGTAAAAAAAAAAACTTTTATAATCCAAAACAGTGGCATAAACTTTAAATTGGGTCATTTACAAAATGGGGGAAACCTACTACTCCAGAAACATAAAATTAGACCTTTATACTTGTTAAATTCTAAAAATTTAAATAAGTTGAAACGCAGTTGCGTAATCATAAAATAGAGGTCATTTTCAGAATCTACGGTTCCGAAAACATAAAAGTAGACCTTTAAATTGGATAAATTCGAAAAACTTAAATAAGTCAAAATGCAATGGCGTCATCATTAAATGGATGTCATTTTCAAAATCTACGGCTCAAGAAACATAAAAGTAGACCTTAATATTGGATAAATTCGAAAAACTTAAATAAGTCAAAACGCAGTGGCGTAATCATAAAATGGAGATCATTTTCAAAATCTACAGCTCCGGAAACATAAAAATACACCCTCATATGAAAAATATCCGAAAAACTCAACTAAGTCTAAACGCGGTGGCCTAATCT